GGGGGGGGGGGGGGAAATAGGGTAGAGTATGTATAGATAGCGCATTGGACATTAGAGATAACATATTTTTATAGATACACACGCAGTACAATTAAATAATTACTATTGCCAGTACGAATAAATGTTAGATGTCACTTTCATGTTCCTACTTATGTACGAAAATATGTAGGCATGTGGCATAGTTCGTTTATCATATTATTATATAAGAGCATGTATATATAAATGAACGACTCCAGGTTTTATGAAAAAAAAAAGTGCTTCGTAAGTATGTTGACGATGCACAAATATGATTCGGAGAATGCGATTAGCGGAAGAAAAATAGAATAGCAATAGAACAAACTTGGGAGACATTTTGATAATATTCAATTCGACGATAGCTTTAAATAATTCGAATCAGAGACATGATAATAGAGAAGAGTATATATAGAGTCGTTGAGCCCAGGTCGTTCCTGTTTTTGATCTGCTGCGTCACCTGCTAACGTCAACTTATCTTACAGCTATTACATGTTGTATGGAATAAAAGTACGTATGATAAAGTAAACGGAACACAGGTGGACATCATGATGGTATTACATTACGCTATTAACTTCAATTCAGTTTCAGTAGTTTCTTATTACTTATTAATTAGACAATGCATATCCTATAATATTTATATAAAAAAGAAAAAACATCAAACGATATTTTAATATAGTATGGATAATAGATATAGGTCGGTACCATTCACGAATTGTAAAGGTTGCAATCTTTATAAAGCAGCCAATTATACGGTTTTAGCGTAAACATTATACGAGGGTACTGCAGCATTAACCACATCCCAATGGAAAGCTATCTGAAAACTGTCTGAAATAAACAAAGGATTACTATACAAATAGCTTGTATAAAATTAGGCACGATAAAGACAATTTCAAAGGTGTAAAACTTCTAATGCATTTCTGCAATTCCCAGTCATTTCTTATGCTGGACACAATTATGCCACCATTTTTTTCTTTAATATGCAATACAGATCCTGAAAATTGTGTTAGCATGAAGTAAACACATCATGAGCGAGATACATTTTTCTTACACCATTGATTTCTCGATCTATATATATATATATATTTTTTTTTTTGGTATGCGCTCCTAAGTCAAATTAAAACTGTGCAATTCGACTCTATAAACTAATCATAGCTATAACGGTACAGTTGCTAACATGAACTCATTTAAGTAAATGGTGACAAGCGTCTATTTATTTCAATTAAAATCAATTGCTCTACACAGTTTCAAAAAGACTCAACTCGTTATTAAAGAGAGGAAAGTTTCATGTTTTTTTCCATAATCAAATCAGTCGATATTGCAAAATAAATAATTACAGGAATATAATAAGGATGGTGTTGTAACATAAAGAATATTCATGTTAATAATGTGATTATAGAATTTCGATTTTCATGACAATATTTCAGCTTAAAAAAAATTGAAACATGTAGCTTTCCTAACTGTCAATAAATAGAGAAAAATATTACTTACAGTTCACTTCAACATTGTCCAATTGATTAGTTATCGGAACTGGGTTGAGAATACGGATAATTTTGATATCCGGTAGGGAAAGACGGAGTTTGCTGCCCTGATTGAGGCTGGGACGTGGAACCAGCACCCGCGGGGTAATATCCAGCCGGCGCGTTACCAGCATTCATGCCTGGATAACTTCCATACGTTTGTGGAAATGCATTGGGTGTGCTCCCTGGAGGACCTGCGGACTGCCCCTGAATCGCTTGTTGCATTTGAGGTTGCGGCATCGGATTGCCTTGAATTCCCAGCTGCAACATAACATAACAAATATAACATAGCATAACATAACATAACTTGAAAGAACATGCTATAATTGACATAAAAGCACTCTGGCAAATATTAGTTATAGTATTGGATGATTACGAAATCAATTAATATTATACACACCTTGCCTGCCTTCATTTGAGCTTCTATCGCCTCTGCTTCTTTCACTTTACCGATGCTTCTATAATATTCTGCCCATTGTGCGCTATAATCAGCCTGGCCACCATTTTGTGCGGCTCCTGGTTGTTGTTGTTGTTGCTGTTGCTGCTGTTGTTGTTGTTGCTGCTGCTGCTGCTGCGCTTGAGGTTGTTGGGGCTGCCCGGGTCCCGCCGGTCCAGCTGGAGGTGCATTAGGTTGATTCGGTTGATTTCCTAGAGTGAAACATAATTCCCATTACACTATATTTGAAATTGAAACTGCGAAATAAAATATTGGGAACAAACGATGTAAAAATTATTGAGTTACAATTTTCGAGTTACCTGTTTGTGGATTGTGTTCTTGTTTTCCTTGTTTCGCTTGTTGTTCGATCATATCCGCTTCTCTGTGCATACCGAGTGATCGATAATATTCTGCCCATTGAGCGCTGTAATCTGGTTGTCCCGTTTGAGGGTTCACTTGAACCGGTGCTTGATTTGCGTTAGTACCTATTTAGGAGCATTATACAATTGACAAAATTATGTTCTGTCTTGTGGATTAGCTTCACATACAGGAGAGAGATACTGATAAATATCCTTACCTGAGTCATTAGATTGAGGTTGGTTAGGCCAAGCCTGATATCCTGAAGTAGAATTCCAATTTGGATTGTATCCAATTGCACCTTGTCCCCCAGTAAATGGAGCTCCAGCTGGACTCTATTAAATAATACATGAAAATACATAATATATTTTCAATATAACTGAACTCTAACGAAGAAGGCCGAAATATTAATTTCAATATACGCACCAAACCTAGTTTTTCACTAAATATTCTCTTAGCGTGTTCCACTTGTTCGGGATTGCCACGAATTATAAAAATCTTTTCATTATCATTGCTCTGATTTCTTCGATCCAACTCGCAATGGGCTCCTGTTTGTTGGTTTATTTGTTTAATCGTTTCCCCGCCTAATAATGAAAAAAGTTTCTTAATATGGAAGTATACGCAAGGCATTCATGCTACATGATGAATGTAAGATTACAGAAAGACAAAGTATAACAGCAAATGCATACCTTTGCCTATGATGATACCACATTTGGACGACGGCACTGTAAATGTAGTTTCAATTTTATCTTGCATAGGTCCACCCTGACGTCTATCCCAGCCACCGCCATAATCGTTTGAAGTACGCCCACCGCCGAATCCATTTCCACGAGGTCCGCCTCTACCACCCATATTATTTCTACCATCGTCCCGTCTCTATAATTGTACAGAACAAAATAATATTGGCATCTATTACTTTCTTTCAAGTTCCGATTGAATTGTTTGCGAAGCAAGCAATTTCCACACTATTCCCATGCAACTCTAAGCATACAGATAAAATAAAAGAGCATATCCGTAAACTCGGGAAATACTGTAATGAAGTACAGTTTGGAAATTACTTATAAACCGAATATTTTGTTCCTCTATTTAATATTGTTCTTAAAACGGAACACGATCATTCACGACCATATAATAAAAGTTTACCATTACACTATCAATAAGTTCTTGAATCCGTTGTCGTGCTTGTTCTACGGCTTGATGTTTCCCTGATAGTAAACACTTTCGATCACCAGGACCATCTTCTCGTCCTTGTTGAAACTGAACTCTTGCTCCGGTCTCTGCTTGGATTTTCTTTATCATATCTCCACCTTTACCGATAACTACACCAACAGCAGCTCGAGGAACAAGCACCTAATTACACGATCATCATACGTGTTAACAATTATTCAGTACAAGGAAATAATAAGGAAAATCAAGTCGTAGAAAAAACGGTTAAGACTTTGGTATGTATGTACTGTTAAAAAGTAAATTACAAACCTCAACTCCATCAGCATTAGCTGGTCCGCCATGGTTGAATCCATTATCATTGGGATAACTGCCACCCCGCTCACTGCTACCCCTCGATCCTCTATGGAACATCTGCATTTCCTTTTCAGCGATGAGTTCGTATACCAATTGTTTGGCATATTCGACCTTTTGCGGATCTCCGGTTATTCTGTAATAAAATGTCGGAGTGCTAATCCCTTCAAAGTTTAGGATCCACTTCCATGTAAAGAATGTCATTTGGAAATTCACCTTAAAGGTTTCTCCTGTTCTTGAGAAGGTCCGTCCTGGATTACGACCATCTTAGCTCCAGACTTTTCTTGGAGTTGTTTGATAGTCTCCCCACCCTTTCCAATAATGAGACCAACTTTCGGTCCTGGGATCATAATTTCAACGAATCCCGGGTGGCCCATTATCCCACTGCTACTTCCGGATATATTCATGTCACCAATACCCTCGGTTCTGCTTCTCTGATTAACGATCGACAGAACCAACTCCTTAGCTCGACTGAAACACAGAACAGAAGATATCCAGTGAATCCCCTATTTTCACGAATGAATAACCTAGCCATATACAACATACAATACAATTTGTTTGCAAGACATAGTCGTATGGCTATTGTGCAACAAAGTGCAACAGACCACAATATTAATAGGTCATTTTCGCTAGTATTTTCAGTTAGTATTCATACAATAAATTTAAATATCCTATAAAATGATTTAAAGCAGTTTTATACGAGTAGCATTTTAATCATCTTCCTGTTGCGAGTAACGCGTCCCCATGCATAGCCTATCCTCCTTCCTTTAATTTCATTCTCACTCTTTCTCTCCCTCACTCATTGTCTGTTACTCTCACTCACTCTCACTATTTCTCTCTTCCCACATCCTAGTAAAAGTAAAACAAAACTATTAGTAAATACAAAATTACGAAATTAAATTTCACCAATCCTTAAAGAATTTTTAGCAAATTGATATGCCGGTGAGTATTCAAAGATGAATCTGAGCCCGGTACTCGTGTCCAGGAGCTAAACGAATACATTCTGTAAAAAGGTGAACAATTTTTATATGCGAATGCATATGACTGACAGTTAATCAATGCAAATAGTGCAGTATCAAATAAGGTGATATGACAACTTTTTATCTACAATTAATTTTCTTTATAACAGGTGTCTTGTATCAGTTAATACCAAATGTGCATAACGCTCAAAGAAATTTACGTTTTTAATAAGGAAAGTGTACTTACGTTAGTAAGTAAAAATGACAATAATAAATGCGTTTACGCAACAACGATGATTAAGCAGAAGAGAGAAGTACTACTACTGTAAATGTGAAAGATAGTAACTAACGGGTAAAATAGAAAGTATAGATATACTTTTACGATCATATTTCTTAATTTAATAGGAGGCGGCGTTAAGTTTCATAGGATCTGTTAGACATGTTATCACATATTTAAGGAGGATAGACGATTTGCTTGGCTCATAAATTAACGTTTCTAATTATATGATGACCTGCCGCAATGCCACGTAAACGCATATATCGCTTAAACGATTCTAAGTATGTATATATATGTGTGTGCCTCTGTGTATATATATATATAGCCTAGGTAGAAAAATCATATCTTGCTGGACTGAGAATTGATGAAACGGTGTTGGTGTAAAGAAACATACAAACGAGTTATGGTTGTAGAAAAATTCGTACAAAATAATGGGATTGCAATGCATAAAATATAATTAAAAATTATGAAATAAGAAGATAAAAAACAAGTTACTTGACAGCTTCTCGAGAGCCGGTAAGAGTGCAAACCCTCTCAGGTAGCCCACCACTCTCTGGGGCCATTTGAATTTTACAGCCAGTTTCACTTTGTAATCTCGTGATTTGTTCTCCACCCCGACCGATTACTGTAAAAATATGAATTATCATTAGCACGACAATAAAGAATACAACACCTCAATCGCAACGACAAGAAGGTGGAATATTTAATTATCTGCTGGTTGCAGGAATTTGGCGATTATGTGATAAAACGTAGTACGCAACATTTCAGGACAAACCATTAAAACAAGAGTATAAAATAAGAGTATTAAAACGTAAAACAAAAACAATAAGGATTATCAATTTCATGCCTATGATAATTCAGCATAGGAATGGTCTTACAATTCTTAATTATAGAGTTATTATTTATAACAATGAAAGGAAAGCAATATTGTAAACATTGTTTTATAAGCTTAAACTCTAAAGGCTTATGGTTGCACATTATAACAAGTAATACATACACATAGGATAAGTAAATAAATGATTTGGTGTAATTAGGCACTACATCTAATTTCACATTTTAACACGTCCAATAATACTCATGGAAAATTTGAGCAACAAACAAATAACAGTTAATTATACTTACTCAATCCAACCATTTTATCCGGAACTCTGATATCTTCGTTGCAAATACCACCCATACCTCCCATTGAAGCTGAAGGCGACACAGATTGTGAAACTGCTCGAGGTGTAGTTGTACTTCCACTATCTCCGATGGAACTGTTACTTTGTGGACCTCCTCGAAGACCAATTAGAGGATCCGCAACTAATGCTGCCATTTTCTTTGCTTCCGGTTCTAAAAGTTCACAAAATAGGGGATGCGGAACGATGGCAAGCTGTTATGCTTATACGAAATTTATAGTATCATTGGCTGGTACAACATAGTACATTTCAATTTTGATACATTGTATTATAACGATCATGATTTACAAGTTCAATACTGTTTTGTGTTGTTTAAGGTTTTGGATTTTCCTGGGCCATACACATTACAATTTTTATGTAAGCTATCACAATAAATAGGGTCCTATCATTGAAAACATTTCACAAGAAATAATTATTTTTATAAATAGTTCAGGATTTCTCTCAACATCTTATCACTTTGTAGATATACAAAGTCATAACATTTTTTAACTTGTTGGTGCTTCATCGGTGCCTTATGCCCTGCAACCTCCATCTGTTAGCCTACATTGTGTGAAATAACAATGATAGATGATAAATGGAAAATTGAATGCTTATATTTCAAAAGACTGGAGGGTAACAATCCTGTAGCATTTTATGAATATGATATAGTGCCATATAAATGCATTCTAAAATCAATTTTACATTGTTTGAAATGGTAATTTGATGTAAGTACCTTAATATACACGTGTAACTTAAAAAGAATGACCTTTCGCTATTGATAAGAATATTTCTTACCTGAACTATCTTCAAGGGGACGTTTTAACTTAGTATCTGGATTATTTTGTGCACCTGCTGGATTTATTTTTGCTGCAATCTGTAAACAATCATTCAAAATGAGAATAAATGTAATACTTATCTGAACATTTATAACACCAAAATAAATGAATAATTTAGATTTAAAAAATGTGAAAGAATCACTATAATCTATAGCATTTGCAGCTTTTTCACCTATCTGATGCATTATATTCATACAAATGATAAACTTATAGGAACAAAGAATATATATTAATTAGCATAAGAGGTGCATGGAGTTGTGAAATATTACAAAGAAACTTGATTAGAAAAATAGACATGTCTATATCATTTTTACAATATATGTCTAAAACAAGTGTGTTACTGCTGTATCCATAATTTAGTAAATTATAAATATAACATTTAATAAATGTTGTGAAATTACATGCTCATATTTAGTCCAATACTAAAATGTATTTTATAGACAAAAAATAATTGCTTTATGTTTAACATAAGTATTAAATATCATTGTTACTATCAGAACAAGAGTGCTGATACTCCTTATGAAAAATCATTACACTTACTAATTTTTTAATAAAGAAGTAAATTGCATTAAACAAAAAGTTTTTACTTTAATAGTTTTATTAACTACAAAAGTATAAGGACAATGTAACCACCATCAGCACAATCAGAATAAGTTCTGAATTCATAGGTCGTTCTTTGTATACAAAGTAGTCTTATTAAGCTATAGAAATATGGTTGAAAAACTAACATATATATAAAATTCCATGTTTACTTCTGTCAAGTTCAAGAGGAGACCCCTTTCTTGATATATTGGAACTAATATCCAAAGGTACCGACAGAGTTAATACAGTCACTTGCTCATATTACAGGAAATAACCACCTCAATTAACAATATTTTTTCTTTACATATCAATTATAAATATTAATAAATCATAAAGGAAACAGTTTATAATAGAAGTAATATAGAGATATAGTGGCAATAAAATATATTCTTTAATATGAACTTCTACATTAAAAAACAAAAAGATCACTTCCTCAAAATGTATCTGATTCATGGACAAACTACACCGCTAAACCTTTATAACAATACACATAAAAATATATTTGTTTCCTTGCATTAAAACCTTAAACTATGACAATATTTTCTTCAAGGCAAGTATAGCTTCATATATAAAATTTGTTTATAATTGCTCGTCATATACTTTCAATATCTAGATTGAGCTAAACGAGTCAACGAATTACACTTCTTTGTCTTGTTACCGACGCGGATATTACATTTTGCGGAATGAAACAAAAACGTTAAAAAATGAATAATACCCATGATAAATGAATCCTCCCACATCTCTCAGTCATCAGACTGAAATGTTTTTGTTGGTCACGCAATGGCATCGCGAGAGCATAATACGTACATAAATAATTATTTTTCATAAAATAATATTAATATAACAGTGATAAAATAACAAGAAGCATGACAAAATTTAGTGTAATGAGCTGCATATATTCGATCGGCCTTTCTCAGAGATGTATAGATAGAGCCAAAGTTGGATAGCATTTGTCTACGCATACTTCAAAATACAAGCTGTGAAACTCACATAAGCTTCAACAGAGTGTTTAACACTGAAATGCCTCTAAAAGAGCAAGTATAAATGATACTCTTACTTGTTTAGCGCGTTGTAAAGCAGCCGCAAAAGCTGTACTGTGACTGAAATTCTGTGGCGGAGCGACCGCTGAATAATCACTCATGATGAACCATGAAGAGGTAAGACTTTACACCAATTCACTATCGCTCCGCACGATTTTCGTAAACAGTGGTTGCTGCTGCTTCGCCAAGAAACCTTGATTCCAGAGAGATCTTCGTAGTTTTACGTGAAATGCTTTTAATAGTGCTAAGTAGTGAAGCGTTACTTTATGAGCGAAAGAACTCCACGGTGCAGGACAAGGCGCAAGCGTCACTTACGACACGGCATAGAATAATTTTCATAAGAATTAAAACATTCGTTTGATTTTACGGATTGAATTTTCCTCAGCACCATCTGCCGGTAAATTTCGTACTTGGCCTATGTTTATCGATATTCATGGTGATGTGAAATTGAAGCGTAAAATAATTGAGAAATAGAATAACATTATATTTTGTATAATAATTATATTAATTGCTACATTTAGTATTGAAATTTTAATATATTAAATATATTTATAATAAGTTTCAAAGATGCTCCAAAGATGGACACTCGTAAACAACCGGAAATAGTATTAAAGTTTGATTTGTCAGTAAAGCTTCTTTATATCCGCTGTGTTGGCACTTTTTACAAACTGTCAATTTAAATGTAAATTTACTACAAAGAACATTAAAAGAAAGAGAATCTTGTAGAGAAAAGTATGTACTTATAACGATAGTATTACAATTTTTTTAAAAGCCAACAACTTAGAACATGAATTTTTTATTTTGCGAATAAACTAAAGATTGATTATGTGGAACGGAGAAAAGATTAACAACATTTTTTATATTGAATTTATTTATTTAGCATTTAAAATATATTTGTATACTACCAGATAAAACTGAAGAATATTCACATTGATATTATTTCATTATTATACTATGATTGCTAATAAATGTGTACGGCATATTAATGTACATGAAAGGTATACCTAGAGTCTTTATTATAGAATCATATTCATTTGGCCACACTGCATCAGAAACTCGATTGTCAAAGTGAATTTTTTAATCAATATAGAACAATATAGAATTAAAAAACATATAAGATGGTGGACGAATCAACCAGGAAAACATTAAGTAGCATTCCATTATTACAAACAAAGGCAGGACCGCGTGATAAGGATTTGTGGGTACAAAGATTAAAAGAAGAATACCAGGCTCTAATAAAGGTAATGCCGTTAGACATATAATATGTAATGTTTTGTGTAATACTTTACCATATGGTAACCTCAATATTTTTTCATCTCATACGAAATATACACTAAATCATATTCAGTACACTAATTCTACTGAGCATAAATAAATGCTTTCCATCATTTATTGTTAGGGCTCACCTTTGGTGTAAAATAAAATATTGTGTTATCTGATTATTAAGTACATTATTCCAAATCATATTGTATAATCATTTGTTTTCAGTATGTTCAAAATAATAAAAGTTCGGATAATGATTGGTTCCGATTAGAATCAAATAAGGAAGGAACTAAATGGTTTGGGAAATGCTGGTATATCCACAATCTTTTAAAGTATGAGTTTGAGATTGAATTTGATGTAAGTTTGATAATAATATAATACTAATACTTTAGAAGTTCCATAAGCTATCTAAATTTTCACCATTTTATATAGGATCTTTAATTTTCAGATACCTGTTACATATCCCACTACAGCACCTGAACTAGCTCTACCAGAACTGGATGGTAAAACAGCAAAAATGTATAGAGGTGGAAAAATATGCTTAACAGACCATTTTAAACCCCTATGGGCAAGAAATGTGCCGAAATTTGGTATAGCCCATGCAATGGCTTTAGGGGTAAATATAATATTTATATTTAAAGAAATACAGTAAAGTAATAAAATAAGTATAACGTTGCTCTTTTCTGTAGCTTGGACCTTGGCTTGCAGTAGAAATTCCTGATCTCATTGAAAAGGGTGTTATAGCACATAAAGAGAAATCTGCAGAATAAAAATAGTAAATACAATACACATAAATTATTTTTTAATTTACTAGAAGAAGTATAGGACAAAATAATTTGAATGGGTCTGTATATTAGGATATAAATATTGCTGTTACTTTACATCATCCAATTACCAAGTTGATAATTCACAAATGAAACTTCATACCATTAAGTTGATTTCAAGTTCACAAATGTTAACAGGTATACAAAAATTATTTACATGTTATAATAAATTGCATTTTCTATTTCATACAATATTTACATGTGTTCACTAAATACTGTTTGCTGATGATAGTTACTTTTCTTCATCATCCAATTTTACTGTCTTTGTCTCCTTAATTATTTTGTCTAGTTTGTACAAATTTTTAAGTGATACTTCTCCTGTTCCACGTTTTAATGGCTTTGGTTGTGATGGATCTGGTTTCCAACCCAACATATTAATAATTTGAAATGTTGCTGGAACATATGTCGAACCATCTTCCTTGGTCTTTCCATAAAGTTCTTGATAAATGACTGATGCTGCTAAGAGCGAGTCTCGTTTCAAATGAAGTGTCCGATTTCTGGCTGCATTACTTTCACCCATTCCTATTCATTGTAATATTATTCTATTAGAATCTATCTACAGTAGTAAGACATTGATATAAAACTATATAACTAAAAAAGTACCTTTCAGGTCCCAGATGAGTTCAAACATAGAAGGGTAACCAATGACTATTTCATCAGTATCAATAGTTAACATAGTAAAACCTGCTCTATTCATAAGACTGCCAATATCACGAACATCTGCGAATGGAGATATATGTGGAGATACACCACCATTCCTTTCTAATTCAGCTAATTGCAAGGAACCCCTGAGGATGCATATTATACCTCAGATAAAGTACTTTATGTGGACATTAATAAATCAAGTATTCCGTAAGAACATATAAAAATTACCTCAATTCATAGAGTGTATCACCACCAAATATAGCAGCCATGAATACACCATCATTTTTTAAACATCGTATAATGTGATTAAAACATCCTGGAAGATCATTGACCCAGTGAAGACTGAGACAGCTTATAATCAAATCAAAGCTGTCAGATTCAAATGATAATTCTTCCTCGTCAACCACTTTCCTTTTGACTTTTATTCCTTCTGTTACTTCAGCATGCGATAAGGCAGTTGGACTCATATCAGCCATAATTAATTCCTCAACTGATTCACTTAATATATGTTTTGAAACATGACCTCGACCACAACCTAAATCAAGGGCTCTTTTGAATGTCCTTTTTATATCAAATATTCTATCTGCTAATCTATACCCAACTTCATCTTTAAGGTAATCATATAATTTTACATCATGTGCTTTTGCAGCACATTCTTTTTGTCGTAACTTTGCTTCCCTATCAAATACATACATCACACTATTTGGTGGCAAAGCATACACTGAATTAGTATTAGTTATACTGCGAACATTAAGTGCAAGAACATTCTTTTCTTGACTTGTAAAATTAAAGAGAAGATTACACAGGTTACGCTTCAGAATACCGCGACTATAAATTCTCATTGTTGGTAACATTTTGTCTTTTTTTTTTGTAAAAAGCCGGGATTTTAATAAAGTTATATTGTATTATGTTTAATATTCTATCGTTATATTGTCGCAGTTTTATATTAATTTTTATATGTTCATTGTGATGTTTTGCCGATTATGTAGACATATATAAATAATAGCAGATTATATCTATGTGCAGATAGATTTTCATGAAAATGAAACCTCTTGTGCCGCGTTTACATGTAAGTAGTTTTAAATGAATGATTTAGTTTATAGAGTGCTAAACAAACATGCTTACAATAATAAAATATGTTTTGTAACGGTGTGATAAACCATATAAGTAGAAGAAATTTTATTTGAAAAGTATTTTTTCAATTAAAATTTATCCATTGTTGGACTCTAACATTCTGTTCTACGTAGTCCTATAGCTCTAACTCACTCCAAGAGTCCCTCTAGTATTAGAGGGACTCTACCGTCCATCAAGGTACATCGCCATCTAGTGTCGAAGTTCCAATCTTGATTATCAGGACTAGTTACAAGGAAAACATATGAAGGAAAGGAAGAAAATTCTTAGGTTACTAGTTAAATGTTGTAAACGAGAGTAAACAATGCAACATTTATCTGTCAACAGTAACTACATTTTTGTTTACTTATTACGCAAAGAATAATAATAAATGTTACTGTACAGGTATGTAGAATGCAGTGAATTCTATTTATTCAACAATTTAAGGAAACTAATATATTATATGTACGTATTGTATACGTTGATTGTATAAATTTCGAACTATTTTCCACGTTTCTTTGATTGCAAATGTCACAAAGTTAGTTGTAGCATTTACCATAATTTTTCAAGCTGAAAATTGATATTACTCGATTTTTATTTTATTTATCAAGTTTCTCAATATCGAACTACATAATAAATATTGAACAACAATTATGTTATGTTCATTTTTTGCAAACGTTTCACTGTTCGTTTTATATCAGAGCACAACATCCCAAAAATCTTAATATATCATTATTTTGATTTACAGGTCTCTAAGTTATGTCAAAGTATAACTTACTTTAATTTGTATAAGTACATTTATAAAAATATAGCAAATAAAGTAATACAATATAATATAATTGTAATTATGGAAACTGGTCAAGAGCAGCCAGTGGATAATATGATCCTCAAGGAAAACAGTGTCAAACAAGAAATATGTAGCAGCATTGACGAGAGTGTAGATGATGAAGCTAAAATAAATATGGAAGCCAGTATTGAAGATGAACATTGTGTAAAACCCCTTGATATTACTTGCGATAAATCACATGACGAATCTTTCAAGAAACCAGCACTATTAATTGGACCAAGACGTGGAAAACCTGGAAAATTGCGTATTGTGCATAATATTCCAACACCTGCATTATTTGAAGAAACTATGGACACAAATTCCAAGGATCATGCTGATATTCAAGTAAATAGTACTTCTGAGCTTGAAGGAATATCTAAAATAAATGTTGAAAAGCCAAATATAGATCTACAAGATTTACAGAAAGATAAACAGCTTCCATTACCTTATCGAGAACCTAATTGGGGTGGACAACCTGAACAAGATTATAAATTGGAGGTATTGAAATCAGGAGTCATTTTGGAAACACATGATTTAACAAAAAAAAGTTTTCATGTTTTTGGAAGACTTCCAGCGTGCGACATATCCCTTGCACATCCGACAATTTCAAGATATCACGCAGTTCTTCAATTCAGAGCAGTTGACGATGAGAAACATCCTAAGGGTTTTTATTTGTATGATCTTGGAAGTACACATGGCACCTTCTGGAATGGAAATCGCATAAGGCCTAATACTTACGCAAGAGTACAGGGAGGTCATATGATTAGATTTGGCTGTAGTCAAAGAAAATTTATTTTGCAAGCACCTCCAGAAGACGTTGAAGAAGAATCTGAATTATCCCTGACTGAGTTGAAGGTAATAAAGTATAAACAAATCATACTAAATTTGCTATAATCATGCAATACTTATTTACAATTTTACAATAATTTATCAAATAAATTAAACGCATTTAAAAACTCTATGTTCCCAACCTGTTTCAGGAAAAAAGAAGATTGGACCTAGAAGAACGTGCTAGAATGGAAAATGAGCGTAAGGTAGAGGAGGAAGAGGCAGAGAGATTAAGAAAAGAACAAGAAGAAAATGAAGGAATCGATTGGGGAATGGCAGAAGATGCAGACGAGGAGACAGATTTGACTGAGAATCCATATGCATCTACTAATAATGAAGAATTGTTTTTGGATGATCCGAAAAAAACATTGAGAGGCTGGTTTGAGCGAGAGGGATATGATTTACAGTATCAAACTGAGGATAAAGGCATTGGACAATTTTTATGTTGGGTCGAGTATGTATTTTCTTACATGTAACAAAATTCCTATTTCTTTCTATCTTAATTACTTCTTTTAGATTACCTATAGACAACGTTACTGGTCGCGCAGTTAGAGCAGAAGCGCTTGTTAAAGGAAAGAAGAAAGAATCTGTTATACAATGCGCCTTAGAAGCCTGCCGTATTTTGGATAGACACGGTTTGCTGCGTCAAGCTACTCATGGTAAATACTGAATTTTAACTACCTACGATTTTGAAATAAGATTTATAAAACATTTTGTTTGACAGAGGCGAGAAAGAGGAAAGTGAGGAATTGGGAAGAAGAGGATTATTATGATTCAGACGAAGACAATTTCTTGGATAGGACAGGATCCATAGAGAAGAAACGTGAGCAAAGAATGAGAATCGCTGGAATATTAGAAACAAAAGTGGAAACGTATTCATCATTGGTATGTAAATTGCTGACTAAAATTCAGGATGAAATTTGATCATATATAAGTGTGCATTGTGTATTAAGTATTAGTTTTAAATATTCATATAATTTCAGCTCAAACAACATACTGAAATTACTCAACAAATTAAAGCTATTGAAAAATCTTTACATAATGCTCAAATGATAAGAGATAAAGCCAATGAAGACTCAATTGAAGATGCTTTGGATGCATTCATGTCTGACTTAAAGTCATCAACTATGAGCAAGAGTGACATTACAAAACTCAAATTAGAACTACAAAACTTGCGAAAAGAAGAGGCGAGATTAATAAAATTAGTAAATATTGCTAAACCTGCAAATTTACCATCGCTTACACCCCATGTGCGAAAAGGTGAAACTGGACAGACTGATAAAAAATTTGAAAAAGTAATACCAATGGTTGGTCACACAAAAAAGCTTAAACCATTGTCAAAGGTAAGATTTATCGTATATTAAAAACATTTCTATTTGTGGTAAATATATGCTGCTATGTTTAAACGCTAATGAAATGGTTTTGCAGAAATCAGAAACAAAAACCTCTTATGATTTATCTATCATGTCGATGGACACGACCAATAAAAAGGAGCATGACAGCCATAATGATGATGATCTGACTGATGACATAGATAATAATACAAAAATTCCTCATGAACATCCAAGAGAAAAATTCAATGATATTCTAGAGGCAAGGAATGAGGATGTACAGGAAGAAATGTCTGTAAATAATGAAAAGCAGATACAAGAAGATCCTAGTATAAAATATAATGATAATCCTGCAGAGAAGGTGGATAATGATCATAGTATTAATAATATGGAAGATGCAGAAGAGGAAGAACATGAGAAGAATGAAGTAGAAGCAAGGAAGAAAAAGAATCGCAATCTTAAGAGAACCCAAGTGAGAACGGAAAAAGCTGCAAAGGAAATTCAAAAAGCTTATGAGCAAGATATGTTCAGAGAAGGATATTCAATGTGGATTCCACCTCAAGATCAAAGTGGAGATGGGAAAACAAATCTTAATCAAAAGTATGGTTATTGAAGTAATCTTGAATAACTCACTTGAACACAAAATATCATAAGATATTTGTATATATATTGTACATAATTATGTTTTATATAACAGTTATTACTTCAGTGTGCACGAAATTTACATTACGACAAAGGCTATAATGACAATATTTGTAACTTTATACGTAATTTATACAAATGCAACACAATTCATGCAGTTGCAGGGATGTTCATTTATTTGGACTGTGTCACGCTACGTCTGTTAAATTTTCATGATGTATGCACTGTTGTCATAAAGATATAATACTTATTTTATTTTAATAATAAAAGTTTTCTAATACAGTACCTTAATTCACTAATTCCCATTTCTCCAATAACGTTTAATTATTAAATTCAGCCGAATTTTAAGAAATTGTACCCCCGCTTTATTTAAAATTAAACACTGAACTGGAACCCGTACGGCAGTGGTGGGGGCCGCGTAAAGAGAGATAGGAAGGACACAGGCGAGTGTAGTAGGCTGTCTGTATCACACATTGTACAGTGTCTGAAAAAGTTTAAGCTGAGATAAAGCAGTGCGCACGAGAAGGACTAAGCTAACATAGCGTAACTTGAAATAATAGCACATATATTTTATTTCGAAGACTGCTAAATATTTTGTTATCGTTTTTACAAAGTTTTACGAACTTGGAATTGGTGGACTTGACCCCAGTGAAAAGTGATTTTAAATCACTCATCACAATTGTTATTTAATGCATAAAACTTTACAGAAATCCAGAAATGATTGCAAAAATTTAGTACAGATCATACTGATTACTTAGTTCGATAGTAAAAATGTTATAATTGGTATATAATATTTACAATTTAATTATCATAAATAATTAGTAGTGCTAACTATTACCAAATTACCAAATATATTACCAAATATTTAGCTGGCACACTATACTTATATGGATTTGTATTTCAGTGCTGGCGTGGCTGGCACTGATATGCGGCGTTACAACATTTTTGTAGGGCTTGTACACCACATGCGCAGTTTAATTCGAAAAGGACAAACTCCTACTCCAGGTGAGTGAGACAGCTGCGCGCTGGCCAAGTTACCTTCGAATACAGGCGTACGAGTTCCAGTATGGTTTATCGTTTTCGCGGCAGATTCGACTGCGTGAATCTGGCGAGGTGGGTTCGTTAGCCACCAAAGCTCTGATGAGCACTCCAACGGTGTTCAATCCTCTGTATATACATATGTTGATTTCTGGTACGGTGATGTTATGGGTTTTCAACTGAATAAAGGCTTTAGGACTAACAATGCAGGTGCTTTGGAGAGCACTATAACTAACTTTATTTACTTTAATTATAATATGATTTAGTCTAAATCAATCTATCTTAACTGTATCTAGCTAATTGACTCTACGATATAGACTCGAAGTACACCCTTCAAGACCAGAAATCGAACTGCCCTTCTGGATCCCAAGGGATACAGTCCTTCATACTTCTCATGCATGCATCCGAACTCATACACCAATGATTGTACAACTGTCAGCAGGCGCTGATTGATTATAACGTGACTGAATACCGTTTCAACCAATCACCGCACTGCTATACAAGTAATGTTGCAAGGCCCGAGTTTGCCATAGAGTGAGAACAATGCATTGTTTATAGACTTCCTTCCTTCTTTTCCTTATGGCTGTATCCCCAATGGGGGACATGTGTCAGTAACTGGTCCTAATAATCAAGGTTGGAAGTTCGACAATAGATGGCGATGTACCTTGCGAGACGGGCCTTATTCAACTCAGCGTGAGGGGACGTACAAAGTTTATACATCGAATCCGAACATTGTTGGGCGAAATCCGTATAAATACTCACGTAAGTTTTCATATGAAAACCCATTGGCGAATGCCGCTGGAAGCTGGGTGCGAATCTCCAACCTTTCGGTCGTGAATCCGCTACCCTATCCACTGGGTTACGGCCGCCCCCTTGTTTATAGACTTCTATTGAGCCATTCTGAAAAGCCATGAAAGCTGACGTCATATAGGCGTCCATGCCTATGTTCCGATATAAACTTACAGTTGTATTATGACTGTGTTCCTGTTCACCTACTAAAGAATCATCGGAAAGTATAGTTCTGGTTGCTTGTAAAAATAACTTATGACAACAATTGCTGACTTACGACTAATATGTAATTATAGAAATGCCTAAAACCTGGCTTATTACGTGTCTTGAAAAAGCTGATTATGGACAAGAAGCAGGGAAACGACAGCCAACTTCACATCGTACATCGATTTGGCTCTTCTGAAAAAACTATTGACTACTAAACGTTTTTACAAGACTATCAAACACTATCGAACGACTATCAAACGATTGGAAGTAGAAAAAGTTTGCATTATAGTCTAATTCAACGGACACACCGATCGAGGAATCGATTGTATCGTATCGATTGGTATCCTTCATTCGCAAATGGTTTTTCTCATTTTTCTTGCAAACGATGGACTATCAAACGTTTTTATTAATTAATTCGCAACTATCAAGCGATTTTGCATCGATTGAGCTCCAGAAAAACAAAATCCGGTTAAAAACAAAAAAGTGCTGGCCAACTTCACACCAGATTTTTATTTTTATTTTCTGAAAAGACTAATGACTATCAAACGTTTTTACAAGACTATCAAACACTATCGAACGACTATCAAACGATTGGAAGTAGAAAAAGTTTGCATTATAGTCTAATTCAACGGACACACCGATCGAGGAATCGATTGTATCGTATCGATTGGTATCCTTCATTCGCAAATGGTTTTTCTCATTTTTCTTGCAAACGATGGACTATCAAACGTTTTTATTAATTGCCAACTTCACGCAGGTTGATTGGCCCCAAATTTTAATTTTTCAATTAAATACAAATACTGAGCGTTATATATATACGTTTACTTTTCGTTAGAAGAAAGGTTTTGTATCTATTAGTTTGTAAAAGTATGTTATTTTTTTGTGATACCGCATTATAACATTCAAAACGAGACTTAAAATGAATGACGCTACCATTGTTGAGTTTGGTACTGTTTTGGAGGGATTTGAATACAAGATGGCGGTAGTCGGTATTATGCAGTTCTGAACGTCAGTTTACTGCAGTTTACAACCGGTGTGCCAGAAGTTGTAAAAGAAGCGTGCGTCTCATCGTGCTGAGTTGCATGTTGAGGAATCAAGAAAGTAAGATTGGAAGTGTATTACTGTCTTGTTCTAAAGTCCAAAAAAAAGTGAGGAAAATGTCTAAAGCGGAGGAAAATGTGGATACTGGGGATACCGGAGACAACTCCAACGAATCTTCAGCAGAAACCACATCTTCTAGAGGTGGAGATTTTGAAACAAAACTCGAAACAGATCGAAGCAAGAGGTTCGATTATTTATTGAAACAGACTGAGATATTTTCTCATTTCATGACAAACAACCAGAAAGATAAAGCTGGAAGTCCACTAAAGGTTAAAGCTGGTAGACCAAGAAAACAACCTGAAAGTACAGTTAAGGTTGATATAGTTGATCATAGACATAGAAAAACTGAACAGGAAGAAGATGAAGAACTACTTGCTGAAAGTAATGCCAATGTTGCTCCTACTACTCGTTTCGAGTCATCCCCACATTACATCAAGTCTGGGGAGTTACGAGATTACCAAATACGAGGACTTAACTGGATGATCTCACTATACGAGAATGGAATTAATGGTATTCTTGCTGATGAGATGGGTTTGGGAAAAACATTACAGACTATATCATTACTAGGATACATGAAGCATTTTCGTAGCATTCCAGGACCACATATTGTAATTGTACCTAAGTCTACTTTGGCTAATTGGATGAATGAATTCAAAAAGTGGTGTCCTACTCTTAGAGCTGTCTGCTTAATTGGTGATGCAGAGACAAGGAATACATTTATTCGAGATGTTATGATGCCTGGGGAATGGGATGTATGTGTTACTTCTTATGAGATGGTCATCAAAGAAAAATCGGTTTTCAAAAAATTTAATTGGAGATATATGGTTATTGACGAAGCTCATAGGATAAAAAATGAAAAATCAAAACTATCAGAAATATTAAGAGAATTCAAAACAGCTAATAGATTATTACTTACTGGTACTCCATTGCAAAATAATCTACACGAACTCTGGTCTTTACTGAATTTCCTATTGCCAGACGTTTTCAATAGTTCAGATGACTTTGATTCATGGTTTAACACAAACAGTTTTCTAGGCGATAATTCTCTCGTTGAAAGACTACACGCAGTTCTTCGACCTTTCCTCCTTAGACGTCTTAAATCTGAAGTAGAAAAAGGTCTCAAACCAAAAAAGGAGATCAAAGTCTACATTGGACTTAGTAAAATGCAAAGAGAGTGGTACACTAAAGTATTGATGAAGGATATCGACATCGTAAACGGTGCCGGTAAGATTGAAAAAATGCGGCTGCAAAATATTTTAATGCAGCTGAGGAAATGTTGTAATCATCCGTATCTATTTGATGGTGCTGAACCTGGTCCCCCTTACACAACGGATGAGCATTTGGTCTACAATTGTGGCAAAATGGTTATCCTGGACAAGCTACTACCAAAACTCCAACAACAAGAATCAAGAGTGCTGATCTTCAGTCAAATGACTAGGATGCTGGATATCTTAGAAGATTACTGTCACTGGAGGAGTTTCCAGTATTGTCGCTTAGATGGTAACACAGCCCACGAAGATCGTCAACGACAAATCAATGAGTACAACGCTCCAGACAGTGAAAAATTCATCTTCATGTTGTCCACGCGTGCTGGTGGGTTGGGAATCAATTTGGCTACCGCCGACGTGGTAATTATTTATGATTCTGATTGGAATCCTCAAATGGACTTGCAAGCGATGGATCGAGCACATCGTATTGGACAACAAAAACAAGTACGCGTCTTTAGATTCATAACAGAAAACACAGTTGAAGAAAAAATCGTCGAGCGTGCTGAAGTAAAATTACGATTGGACAAGCTGGTCATTCAACAAGGTAGATTAGTAGATGCTAAGCAGACAGCACTGAACAAGGACGAGATGCTGAATATGATCAGGCATGGTGCGAATGAAGTATTCGCATCCAAAGATAGCGCCATTACTGATGAGGATATAGATACAATTCTTCAAAAAGGAGAAGCCAAAACAGAAGAGATGAAACAGAAGCTGGAAAGTCTTGGAGAGTCATCTTTGCGAAACTTCACAGTTGATGCTCCTACAGACTCTGTATATCAGTTCGAAGGAGAAGATTATCGTGAAAAACAGAAGATACTTGGTATCGGTAATTGGATTGAGCCACCAAAACGAGAAAGAAAGGCAAACTATGCTGTAGATGCTTACTTCAGAGAAGCATTGAGAGTGTCCGAGCCAAAAGCACCAAAAGCACCAAGGCCACCAAAACAGCCTATTGTCCAAGACTTTCAATTCTTCCCACCACGTCTGTTTGAACTGCTGGATCAAGAGATTTATTACTTCAGACAAACAGTAGGTTACAAGGTTCCTAAAAATCCAGAATTGGGATCTGATGCTGCCAGAATACAGAAGGAGGAACAAAGGAAAATAGATGATGCCCAGCCTTTGACTGATGAAGAAGTTACTGAGAAAGAGAAACTGCTCACTCAGGGTTTCACCAACTGGACCAAGAGAGACTTTAATCAATTTATCAAAGCAAATGAGAAGTATGGACGTGACGACATTGAAAATATTGCAAAGGACGTCGAAGGCAAGACACCTGAGGAAGTCATGGAGTACTCAGCAGTTTTCTGGGAACGTTGCCATGAGCTTCAGGATATAGACAGAGTTATGGCTCAGATAGAACGTGGCGAAGCGAAGATACAAAGACGTGCAGGTATTAAAAAGGCACTAGATGCCAAGATGGCGAGATATAGAGCGCCATTTCATCAGTTACGGATAGCTTATGGTACAAACAAAGGTAAGAATTATACCGAAGAAGAGGATAGATTTCTGGTGTGTATGCTGCACAAACTTGGCTTTGACAAAGAGAACGTATACGAGGAATTACGAGCTACTGTCAGATCAGCACCCCAGTTCCGTTTTGATTGGTTTGTTAAATCTCGCACGGCTTTAGAATTGCAAAGAAGATGCAACACGCTGATAACATTAATAGAGCGTGAGAATCAAGAACTCGAGGAACGTGAGAGACAAGAAAGAAGGAAGAAAGGTGGCAGTGTCGGTACGAAACCGGCTTCAAAAAGGAAGCAAGAAAACCTACCTGCACCTCAAGATAAACCAAGAAAGAAGAAGAAGTGATTTTTTATAAATCATGTGTCATATACTGATGTACTCTTTAATCTAGACTGTCCATTTTTATGAGTATTTAGGCCACCGACGATACAGACACACAAGCATTAGTCACTACGTTGTCGTAATTCTTGTACTACAAAACGATATTTTACAAGTGAAATGATCATTACGAATAAACACGATTGTCACCATGATTCAATGATAATAATTATTATACAATCTACTTTTTTTCAACTTAAACGCTATACATATAATCAGTACGGATAATTAACAGTATTTATCAATTGTTTTTGAAAACATTTATAAAAATATATATTTACTTATTATAGTATTCTACAAAATTGTAGCTTTTTTCTCTTTGGTGTAGCAAGATAATAGAAAATTTTCATCTTTGAGTTACGGGTATAATTTATATAAACTAAATTAATAATATCGTTATCTCAGTACTTACTCAGTTTTTCATTATTATTAATTACCTCGATTCTTGTATGAAAATATAGAAAAGAAAAGGCGGGGATGTGACTCAAAATACACTTGTTTATTATTTTATTTATTGAATTACAGGACCATCGGTCGTGAGCAGAGAAAAATAAATGGGTAAAGTGAGATACTAGATTTTAAGTTATGTCATACGTAGTAATTTACAATTAATAATCTCATTACTATACCCGGCAATGTGTAATACTTGTGGTCGTGTAGTAGTCACGTGTAGTCCTTTACACTAATGCTCACGGTAAAAGCAATAAAATCATTGCTTTTATTAATAAGACAATCATGTGGCGAATTACCGCCTCTCTTAAGGTAAGTATAATAATAATAGTTATGTGTATACATATATAGAGTAAAATAATAAAAGCAGTAAAGTACTGAGTACCACGTAAACTTCACACGAGCGTCAGTCAATAGATAGTAAAAGAAGAAACTAAATATAATTATTCAGAAGATAGACCGTGACACAAAAATGTTTTTTTTTTTTAATTTTCTTAAGGTCCCTCAATGCATTAATATCGCAACCGAGTACCATTGCCATATTTTTACATACTGTTCCTATTCATCGTGTAATAAGTACGTAGATCTTTTGAATTAGTGTTTATACAAGAGTTGCGCAATTTGAGAAATTTATAATTGATATAACGAGAATGTTTTGTATTTTTTATTACCTTCTTTACAGATGGCGCAAGTGTCACATTATGTCAGAATCTTCGTACGAGAACGTTTATGAAAATAAAAAATTCGTAGTCGACAAAAGTATATTATAACAGAGTATTGTGTCACTTGTAACAGAGTGAATGCGAAATATATAGTACTCGTAATCGTTATTTATAATATATATTTATAAGTGTATAATAATTATTATCGCAATAATAGCTATATAATAGAGTATCTATACGTACTACTATGTATATCGTAGTAATGTCTAATAATTATTATATGAAACACACACATGAAGATCGCGTGTGATCTATACGCAGACCTTTTACTGCGAACTAAAGTATTCCCGATTATCAATAAAATCATATTGACTTTTTGGCCAACATGTAAGTACATAACGTTGTTCGACTAGTGCCGTAATATTCATTGGGTATTATTATTCGTGGATGGTGTTTATACATATATATTAATATATATATATGTGTCCAATGTCCACGAAAATAACATTCTTCACCTTCATCCCGCCCCCTTTAACAATTGTGAAATTACTTTAAAAAATTAATCAAAGGTAGAATACACTCGGTTTACCGCCAAAAAATTGGAATACGTTTAGTTATATTTTCATTTGTTTACTTATTGTATACAGATACTATAGTAAAGATACGAATTATCTATGGCAAGGATCGGCCCACTGTGATACATATTTAGGACTACCTAAAGATATTGGTGTAAATTACGTAAAGTGTATAATGAAAAGAAATGAAATATCACCGGATTTTCGGTGTCAGTCGATCGAAATCAATGCATTGCAGTCATAAAATGAAAGTACATTCATTAATATTGTAGTGACAAAGGCTGTTCAATGGTGATGGACATAATAAAGTGATATTTAATTGCCGTAGTTCAATTAGTAATTAGTGTCAAAAGCTTAATTATAAAAATGTATCTTAAAAATGAACATATCAAACCACATATAAAATGGGGCAAAGTACGTTACATCCCATGAATTGTTATACTTTTTTTCTTGTTTAATGTTAAAAGAAAGCCATGACAATTTGACTCAAGATTCGTCCCATTATGTAAAAGAAATAAAATTGCTTCCTTCTTCGTATCCTACATCTTTTTAATTCATCATTTTTCTCCTCAACACCTAAACTTTGAATTTGCAAACATATTGAATAATTGTTTTATATTCAAGAAATGATATTTATCAGATTCACATTTACAATTAACTTAATGATATCTGAAAGTAATTTCATTGTTGAGGAAAAAAAAGGAAAGAATAAGTATGTAGGATATAAAAATGTGCTTATTTTTAAAATGATATTCGACTCAGTCACTCGTGAAATAAAAATAGTAATAATAGTAAAAAATATAGTAGCATTAATAGTAATAGTAGTATCGATATTAATGACAATAAAACAAATGAAGATATTACATATAATATGAATCAATAATAATCATAATCATCGCTTTATAGTAACGATAGTTTTCTCTGTGATGTTCGATACCGTATATCATAATAGTTATGAAGTATATATCACTCAATGTAAAGAATTCTAACACTATAATGAATATAATATATGCGTGTCCTATATGTTAAAGTTTGTATTAATTATAATAGCAATAACAATAATAATACTGGTAAATCATATGGCGTGATAATCAAATTTTGTTTCCGCCTATACACGTGGTTCACATTTTGTTCTCTACCTAATGTTCATATGCCAAATTTTATTACAGAGACATTTGCATAAGGTATAATAATAAAAAAAGCTTTTTTTGTTTGCACGTATACATACTACACAATATAGACTGCTAGCAGTTTACTATGAATTCATAACTTTTTAATGGACATCACGATCTTCAATAATATTTGAAGTTATAATTTTAATAATGACGTAACAGATCAGTTATATTATTCGAAACTTCCGTATTGTAGCTTTGAGAAAAACAATGCAATTACGTAATTTTTAACAACGTAGGAATTTTTAAAAATCATTCTAAATCAAGACAGGAATACAGTTCGCAATGCTCATTGGTCAATTAATTTTACGCTCTAGATGAATGTATGTGAAAAAATGGTGGCAAATAGAAAATGATTATTTTTAACAATGTGAAAGTTGTGGAAAAATGATAAATCTGCATTAGATAAATATCAAGTAACAAAGATCCTTGTAATGTCGTACGTATAAAAATTCAAATGGGAGATGAAGCGACTGTGCAAATGTTAGAGATTTAGGAAAATCATACAAATATTCCTATTTGTGTCCTTAAATGTTTATATCTACTGCCGTGTATTCTTTTCAATTATAAACTATTCAGCCATTATCTGGCTAACGTTAGCTGTCCTTAAGATAATTTCATACGCGAGTCACGCATACTGTGCGTGATAAAATTAAAACAAATTGGTTTACGATTTATACTTTAATTAAGTAGCAACGAAATTGATCGTTGATTTTCATTGAACTTGAAGTCTGTACAGTTCTGCATTGTCTGTGCGGACTTCCGTCACCGCCCCTCCCCCTCCTCGTTATATTTAACGATTCGGCCAAAAGAAAAGGAAATAGTAATATTCGATTCGCACGTGTTAAGGTATTCCAAACCCAAAGGTTTATGTTGAACTCTGTAATGCATCAAATATGCGGTATTTCGAATTTGTATTAAAATTTTCGTATTTGCTCTAAAAACTGAGTCATCGACGACGGTGACAGCATAACCGACGATTTGCAATATTGCCAGCTATCCCGTCACAGAGATCACCATTATTCTAATATAAGATACGTAAGCTTGAGATTTCTTTGACATGATGCTACGTGATGAAACTGTATAGCAAAAAATTATTAATTTTTTAAATCTAACTTCGGCTCGGAACACATTAAAACAATGCAATTTTTTGCTTCAAAATAATACAAAGTAAATAATAAAGTCCTTATCATATCGTTAGGAACGAAAATCTATAAAATTTTATAAAAGACAAAGATGTAAAAATATATCGTAATAAATAAAATATATCACTGGAGCGCTGTTTGAAGATCATATGAAATAAAAAGCTGAGCTACAATAGCTATGAAATATACAATATGTATATCTAGTGTAACTTTGTTTACATGGCAATTCTTAGCAACTTAAATTTCTAAAATGGTAATTGATTCTGTAAGATATCGATTATTATCAAAAGGAAACTTTCTAATAGACAGAAATAAGCAGAATCACAGCTACGCCGTTATTACGCATCCTATGTTGTTGACAAGTCAAAATTATTTTCCGATCTTACTCCATTAGATTACTTTTTGTGGGGTACATTAAAAGACAAAGTTTATGCAGATGCTCCAACAACACCGGAAGATATGCGACGAAGGATTGCGGATGCATGCTCAACCATCAGTGTAGAGGCCATAAAGAATGCAAAACAATCTTTTGTTCACCGTCCACGCGAGTGCATTGCAGCTCGTGGACACCATTGTGAATATCGCTACAATTAAGATTGGTAAATTTTGACTTGTCAACAACATTTGTTGCGTAATAACGGCGTAGCTGTGATTCTCCTTGTGATACAGTTTTTTAATTTTCTTTCGAACCAGATGAAAAAAATGTCATGTCCTTACATGTGCCGAATTCGTCTTAAAATCCTCTAACAGACAGGCGTAAAAAAATTATATGTTCAGTTGCAAAAAATTCAAGGTAACCTTGAAAAAACATTACATGTGCCGAATTCGTCTTGAAATCCTCTAACAGACAGGCGTAAAAAAATTATATGTTCAGTTGCAAAAAATTCAAGGTAAACTTGAAAAAACATTAAAAAAAGAGTTGACCAGTAATTTTTCACTATCACGTTAAAGCTCTCGTGAAACCATGCGAAAGCTGATACAAACATTTAGATCGGACTGCTAATAACAAAGTAATCTCTACTGATCACGATTCGTGATTCACCCTGTATAAGCTCTAATACGACTCAAATCATTAATGCACTGGATATACGATCATAATAATAGCCATTGTACGCTCAATCAGAAAGTCATTACTCAATGAAATATGTTAGCCACGAAAGAGCTTTAACTAGTAAGAAAAAAAAATGAATGAAGGCAATCTGCCTTCGGTCTTTTTGTAAGAAATGGGATAGAGAATCGAAAATAAATAATAATTTAGTCATCGAAAAAAAAAAAGAAATTAACTGACCCTATCACCATGGTGAGGCCCCGACCATTTCAAATGGGAAAATCGTAAGGGAGATGTAATAGATATAATACCCACCGTTATTCTCACTGATATCCAATACTCTCTCGCTATACTCCTGGGCTCAGCCGAGAAGAAAAAGATCTAACTTGAAGTTTAATTTAAAAGCAGATGCCTCCAAGGGGGTGGATCAGGTGGTGGAGGCGGAGGGCCTGGTTACGGGCGGCTGTGGCCTCTCTTTCTTCCATTTTCGTGTCCATCCTCGTCCTCGCCACCACGACGAACCTCCGTGTAACGTTCACCCTTCACACTCACGATCTTGTTGTCAAGATAGCGCACCAGCTTCTTCGGCTCTGTTTTTGGAGCTACTGGACGGTGTTCGCGGGAATCATCATCTCTGTCAACGTAACTGTAGCGAGCGATGATACGTGACTTCAATTCCTCATCGTTTACACGAGCCTTGTTCCGGCCACTGGGCTGATAAAATTATTCTTTCGTACATCATGGATATCTGAACATTAAGATTAAGACTTACAGTAAGGAAGGTCAGATTGCCAACAAGACTTTGGCCAGCTTCTTGTCTATGAAGGACCAGTTGAGCTGCTTTAGCTACGTCTCCTCCTGCCACTGCCAAACAATGTCGAGCTTCAGCAGGACTTGCTCCTGGAAACATTTCTTGTAGAAGAGCCACTTGATGCCAGGAAGATTCCTGCTGTGACAGAAGCAAAAGGGATATTAGTATTGCATAGATTGTACCATGAATGGTACACATGAATGAAGAAGAAACTGTACATTCTTATGACCTGTACATGAAGTGTTCTGCAAAATATGTGTAGTAAATATATTTGTTAAGTTGGATGATAATTTAATTGAATGCCCAGAATTGAATACCTCTGCAAAATATTCGCCGCTGGAATCGCTTCCTGCATCGCTTGTTTCTGACAAGTGATGCACCCTTATTCTTTGTGCGTCCGGCGGCAATAATGCCGTCAAGCTAATGTGACTTAATGGATCTTGAGATTGACAATTCTCATTTTGTTTATTGCCTTGATATAGTTTATTCTTGACATCGAGCAACCATTTAGAGACAGCATCTTTTTCAATAGTAGAAAATTCAGGAAGACAGGCTGACACCATTTCGCACAGACCCTCCACATCTAAGTCTTCTTCCAAGGCATTTTCTTCCACCATGCTAACCACATAACTCAGCACAATGTCATCAATTAAGCTGTAATTATTACAGAAACACTTCTTACTTTGTATTATCATAAAACAATTCATCGGAATACTAAATAAAAATATGCAAGTTGTTTTATACCCCATTTATAAGTAATCATAGATAATTATATATTATTTTCTCATATATCTTACCTAAGTTGTGCAGCAGGTACTTGTTTTCTGACAAAATTGAACAATGATTTCTTCACCAACTCTTCCTTCTCATCCATGGTACGATTCATTCTAAGGCAACAAAGATTATTTTCAAATATATTTAGCGTTGTACCGTGTAAGAATATACATCAGAAGAGTAAAAGCCAAATAAACAATATTTACGGAATCATTTTATAATCTTAGAAGACTTTAAGAAGTAATCAATCTATGATTGTAAACAATAATTCATAAGTTCAAAATCTTATGCATGTAGGTAGATATTTAGATACTGAATGAAAACATCATGCAATTAAATCATTTAAATAATAATTATTACCCATTATCTATTAACTTTAAGTACAAACATCATTATTAAAGAGTTATTTAAATCATATAAAAATAGCACCCAATTAGTAAGATCTTAAATAATGTTTATTTAATATACATATAAGACTATTACAATTGTAAAGTAATTGTTGTTTAAAATTATATATCATGTGTACATATATCCTTATACATTTATAAAAATATGTAGCATGCAATGTAGAATCAATTATGAATTATTTGTTAGAGGGTTTCAACAATTATAAATGTAAATGTTAATTTTTTTCAAAAACTACATATAATATAAAATTTGTAATATAATATTTAAAAATAAAATATGGTAATTCTTATTCATGTTTTTTCTTAAATAAAATCAACAATTCAGAAGAAATAAGCTATAGCAGTATCCTATATCATATAGTCATTGATCCTGTGTTAGGTTAAGAAAAACAAAAGTGCAAAGGGTGCACTGTACTCTGAGACAAGAGGTGTTCTTAAAAACAAAAGTACAATATAAAACTGAATAAATAACAACAGAAGCATTATCATGCAACGAGAAGAAGTAGTGTACGCAGAAACCGAATGTAAGAGAAAAAGGTAGTAAGTCTCCAAAAAATGACAGCTCTACAGTATCAGGACCGGTGTTCTCACGAAATAGATCGGCATTCACTAGTAATTGTAAAGAATAAAACTTAACACAAAGAAACTCAATATTACAGTGCACAAACCTGGCGTTGTTTGTAGTTCAGATATTCTTAGGATCGACGCTAGAAACCGATAAAAATTTCGTATACAAACAACGTCTCACGATTTGACAGTTCGGCTGAGGAGGGATATATGGCAAAGTGTCGCCACCTAGCGAGCCGCAAGGATTCTTGGGTATTCGAACGGCTAGTTGGGGGTAGCTGGGAGCACTTTATAGCTCTACAACCCTTTAGGCATCCCCCGGATCACAAAACGTAAATCAATAGCCCACCCAAGAGAGAGAGAGAGAGAGAGAGAGAGAGAGAGAGAGAGAGAGAGAGAGAGAGGGAGAGAGAGAGAGAAATTGCAGAGCTATGCCCATTCCGCTTAAACTAATACGGGGATAGCATCTTCGATAATCAAAGTAACCTAGTTTCCTAAGGTACAGATAAAATCCCAGATATACTGGAGTACATTCTGAAACTTTAATAGAATGTACTTTGGTATTGTTCTATCTTTCTCGTACTTAATAACTTTGGTAAAGAAAGATGTAACGTCCCGGAAATTGTTCGGAGTAAAGTTTCTGAACGCACCCCTGTATTTAGGTGTTAACACAACATCGACTTACTCGGGAGAACCAATTCTTAGAGATAGAATAAGCATTGCTCATATGTAGCCATATGTCAAAGGAATGGAATGTCTTGGGAGTTATATAAAAGAACACCCTTTCATAGTTTCATAGTTGATATGAGTGAAAAATCATACAACTGTCATTGAATTCTTAAAACCTTCAGGCCAAAAGATCATAATGAAATAATGGTGAAAATAACATTTTTTTATTATACATGGAAAAGCAAAGTTCAAACAGAAATGTTTTTCCGGTACACAATTTTTTCAAAAGAAGAGGGCATCAAGTAAGAACCGATAATAGGAATAGGTTGTAGTAACTATTTATTTATAAGACATATTATTTCACAAGTTACAATTTATACATACTTTCCATTCGTTACGTCAAATCTATGACAAGAGCATGTATGTATCATATATCTATAAATACGTATTTTATACGTACACAATTTCTTCACAAAGAGAGGACCCTCCAGAACAGTCATTCGTAATTGTGATTTACTTAATTAGCGGAAACGTAGTACCACAGGGTCCCCGATATTACGAAATAGATTTATTCCTTATGCAATAAACTAAAATCTAGTATGCAAATTTTCACATAATATAAAATCTGGCAATATTATGGCCCAACGCATATGTGCAAGCTTGATATATCATCCAGATTCCAATGGATCCAACGAATACCGTGTCTCTTTTGTATTTTTTAATTCCGAGACAGCACACAAATCCTAAAATATCTTTAAGATACGTTAAAGCAACCTTTATCGCATTAGACGTTTTAAAGACTTTTGGACAATGTGTTGCCTGATTCTATAATAATAATAATAATAATGTTATAAATTTTTATAAATGCATCGACTCCTTACTGAAATTAAAAAAATTTAAAGTAAAAGTTAAATTCTTTTCTTTTTATTAAAACGTCGATACGATTAATTTACTTTTGGTTATTGTAAAGGATTATCTTTTCGTTTGTTATTTTTTTTGGTTTAACTTGGAAGCAAGTAGAATATTAAGATAAATATTCATTTTTTTAATGAATGCTCGAGACATGCACTTCTTGTATGGTTTATACTGAAACGATTAAAATAACATCTTTCTAAATTTACAGTAAGCTTTTCTTTACAGACAATAAGATTAAAGTCATTAGTAGCTCTTTATCTGTCACTCTCTCTCTCTCTCTCTCTCTCTCTCTCTCTCTCTCTCTCTCTCTCTCTCTCTCTCACACACACACATTTATACTGAAACGATTAAAATAACATCTTTCTAAATTTACAGTAAGCTTTTCTTTACAGACAATAAGATTAAAGTCATTAGTAGCTCTTTATCTGTCACTCTCTCTCTCTCTCTCTCTCTCTCTCTCTCTCTCTCTCTCTCTCTCTCTCTATCTCACACACACACATACTCATCCACATATCTTTTTTCGCACATTTTCACAACTCACTTAGAAAGACTATTAATTTAACGCAGTACTCAAATAAATTATTTTGATTTGTTTAGAAAATACTTTTCGCTCTTGTTGATTACACCGGAAAAATCATACATCGCCATAAATGCAGTAAGGCTTATGTGCATTGACATAAATAGAATTATAACGATTATGTAAAAAGTTTTTGCAAGTAAATTTTGTATGTTTAATTTCATATCTTGACAATCGTTTAGAAAAGAATATTTCGAAAATCATATAATGAAATTGGTATGATTTATACGTTAGGTGGATTTAGTTCGATTCGATGAATTGGAAAAACGTTTTAGATCAGATCAATAGCCTTTAAACTTAAAAAAAACACATTTATGATGTACAAATATCATCATCGCTAAATCTTTTCGCTTTCTGTAATAGCCCGATATATCACTTATATAATATCAAAATAAAAATTCACAATTTTCCTGTGATCTTTGGATTAACGTTCTGGATACTTGAAGACAAATAAAACGCTGAAAATAACATTACACTAATTGTTTCATCCTTACCAATCTGACGGGGCTCTTGTCGAAAAGCCAAGAATTCTCTATTACAATGTTTTGTCGTTTTTTGAGAAATGTTCATGTTCTTCGACATCCTTATCATCATCGTCAATATCAATATGACTTGAACCTTTCAACTCGTCCCTGCTATCTTTACTACAATCAGGTTCCGGTTCTTCCACGATATCTTGTTCCTGTTCTAAAAAGTCTGTAGGTACAAATTCCATGTGATCCTCGTTGTCATTCAAATCTGGTGGTCCTGGTAGTTCACAGAAATTCATGTCCCTGTCACCGCTACTGACATCTTCACCACCCGGATCATCCTCTTCGTGGAGACTCGCTATATTATCGAAGTTTGAGGGGGTCGAACTGTCCTCATTATTTTCTGGAAATATCTCTGTGGGACTCAAGGGTATATCTAGGGGTTCAAGCTTCACGGTGGTACTGGGTGAACTCGGTGTGATTGGCCGTTGCAACTTTATCTTCGTAAACGGTCTGGGTTCCGAAGACTCCGTGGTGTATCGTTTATGCGCACGTTTGGGACTAGTTGGCATCGACATACCGGAAGTCGACGGTCTTGTTTCTTTGGTTTCATTCAAAACTCGTGGGATGGCAGAATGAGATGATTGAGGCTTTGGTTGTGGTATGAGCATTGGTGGTTTAGGATTCTGTTGAAACAAAAACATAAATTGATTAGCTTTGAATTCCTGCTCCTTCAAACAAAGTAGAATACACCTGTATGTATTCAATAAAAATATACCAAAATATAATCAGTATGAAACCGAGGAAAGATTCTTATGAAATAAGTCTTACCTGGGACGAAGGATTTGGTCCTGCCAATCCTTTGACTTGTAAGGCTTCAGCCGCGTTCAGCAATTGTGGTAACTTGTCGTGAGCGACATTGACTTCTCCACGATACATAAACTTGACCAATGCCTCGACTTCCCAGAACTTCAAGTCCTTCATTAATATTATGGGATGCTGACAAGGATTCTCACGTAGTAGTTCAGCTAGGTAATCGCTGCAGGAGGAGAGAATCATTTTGTGACACTTTAAAGAGCGTCCTTCGCAAGCCAGAGTCACGTCGACAAATTGCTCAGAGTCAAGCAATGACGGGAAACTATTCTGCATGTTGCTGTGGTAACTGTTCCACCTTAAGCAGACCTGAGAAGAAAATATTTTCTATAACGACCATTATCGTAGTACCTTATTAAATAAGAAAAAGAAAATGTTATATGTATATAATCCGTGCATGTATCATTAGTGCTTGTCCATGAAGTGAAAATGATAGAAATATTTGTTTTCTAATATAAAAAAAATTCATATATACCTCAGTGGCCTGCTGTGGTACTATGTTTTGAGGTAGTCCTTGAGGTGCTTGACGCGGTGGCATCTTGATTGTGGTCGGTGCCACTTGTTTCACTTTAAGAGGTATAGTCTTCAGTACGAGTGTCTTTGGTTGTCGTTGCTGCTGCTGCTGCTGTTGCTGCTGTTGTTGCTGAGGTATAGGAGCCGGAGCGATATTTCGCATCTGGGAACGGACTAGAGATTGAGTGGCGATCCTTATGGCTTTACCACTTTGTGCAGCCTGTATCGCAGTTGGAAGTACTGTAAACAGGAAAATCAGTTTTTTTCACAATTAAAGTAATATTCAGATCCATAAATTATTTTTAAATATTGATAAACGTATCTATTGAGAGTCTTAATCTCACGAGTGTCAATCGAAGTACCAATTTTTGTATTAACTACATATTTTATGACGAATTTAAAATTATATAGTTTATTACTGATCTCATTCGCATGATCTATAAATAATATAGACTTTTCCTTAAATAAATCTACAGTAAATATGTCCCAGTAAAATTTCTTTAAAAATTTTAAATAATATATGTTGAATTATAATCACTAGTCAGTCAAGGAAATGAAACCAACAACGTCCTGTCAGATTGAAACCAATCCTTCTACCCATTAAAATTGCACACGCATGTCGGAGAAGATCGACATCAACACTTAAAAATTGATCCAATTCCAAAAATAAAATCCAATCCCAATTGGCCAGGTGTTAGCTACAAAAAAATTGCCTATAAGTCTCTAAGTTCCGCGCGTATATACCCTGTACAATTTTTACATATATCTTTACGTTGCATTCCGCCACTTTGTCTCGAGAAGCGTAGAGCCGCACACTCTGGCTGTATTCCAGAGAATAAATTTAGCCACGATAGAACTCTAGCGAAAATCCACACTGCGATGACACGCATACGATTCTTAAAAACGTCATGGGTATTAACTTCGTGAGCTTCCATTTCCTCGTCTGCCTAATTCAGTGAGAAGGTCTTTGTAGACGCTTTTCGATAAACATTCTAAATCGAAATCGGATTATTGGTTACATATCGATCGCGCGTTACGAGCCCATTAAAACCCATTTAATGATCACAAAATATATTCGCTAAGTTAATTTTAAATAAAGCAGGGCTTTTGATTATTAATTTCTTTTAAAATATATTTATATTCATAAATGGGGAAACAGTGCTATATATGTATATATATTTTTTCTTTTTAGGTATATGAATCTCCGATCACGTACTGTACATGCGCACGTGGCTATACTATACTGCACTGTAGGTATACATACTGTCCGTAGTACAATGGCGAGTATGTCTTTCGGAGGAAGACTTACCTATGCTTGACTGAATCACGATATACACTAGTACTAGTATGCAATGTATAAATCCGATGTTTTACTTTGAAAGAAATTGAAGTCAGGAGATTCAAAAAAAGGTAAAAATTCATTGAAAACAACCTTAATCTGAACGGTCCCTCCGAATATACTATCATTGAACTAGTAACGATATGCTTTCTCATATTGATCTTATAAAATAATTTGAGAGACGTATGAATTTGAAAAATGTTAAAACTGTACTTTCTCATATTTTCAGTGTCAACCATATGTCCTAGGAGCGACGATCTAACAGCGACAGCGAAAGGGTGGATGGCTTAGTAAATACTTTTCAGCCTCGACAAACGAAATGAAACCGATAGTACATTTCCACAAGGAAAATATAAATACGTAAACTTTGTGCGGGACTCGAGTATAATTACATATTCAAACTTTCTCCCGAACCCGAGGGCTCCGGCTTAAACGTCTGTAAGGGGCGTAATAACGGCATGTTCCATTGTCATATAAAGTTACGCTAATTCTATGTAGATTTTACTACCGTGATTTAATAAAAACTTTGTAAAGATAATAAGTATCGATAATAAAAACTGGCATGCTCCTAACTTACAGTATATTTCCTAATAAGTAACAGTCCGATACGTAAATAAAAGTCGAAACCTTTGAAATTAAAAATGATTTTGATAAAAATGTCCTTTCCAATAAATAACCGTTATTCGTGCGTAATTTCATTACCCACGGCATTGTCCTATATATCTCGAAGACAGTAGCGAACAGCTTCTCTGTAAGAGGTGCACGTCACAGCAGAGTAACTAATCAATAAAAAGTGTCGCGAATCCCGAGTTCAAAAACTTGCGCCGTAACGACGTCGTCGTGAGAATTCAAGGGAATATTGAATCCGTGCTGCGCGTCCCATAATCATCATTGCGATATCGTCTTGCCTTTTTCAATTTGTACCTTTTAACGTGGCATTCTCGCGAGTATAACATACAGAAATATCAGGCATGCAAATTCTAAGGTTCTCGCTTAAAATGCAAGTGCACGTAAAGCACGCTAAGATATTTGTTTGGTGTTCAAAAAATTAATGTTACCCATAATGCATCATATTGATAGATAAAAAAAATTATTCAGCGCTATCATATATATTTTATTCACTATCAGGAATATATCCACCACTATGCGATACTATCAGCGCTAGCTAGTTCAGCGCTATTACCAAAAACTCACCTTATCTTACGTCAATCTATACACTGTAGAATTTTGAACGTATGCAAGGAGTATTATATCGAACGTTTACTCTATACGCTCAGCCGATCAGCCAAGCCCAGAAAAGTAAGGGTAAAGTAATAAAGGGATGTGTCATCGCGAAAGTACGAATGATAACAGTCAGGAAGGACATTGGTATTGGAAAGGATGAAGGAGGAGAAGGAAACGCATGCCTTATTAAATTGTCACTATATATGTTTGACTATTACCATGGTACCGTCGGCCGATGAGTCTTCCACCATGATGAACCCTTAAATGACGATGCAAATTGGTAGTACCACACTGACGAGGGTTGGCACCACCCCTGACAACGACGGCACCACAAATGCGACATTGGGCCCTTAATGGGTCATTTGTGCATAAGTCAAAGTGGGCCCATACGGCACTGGGATTCGCCATTGCTCGTAAGCTCCGCGAATGCGATCTAACTCTTCCCGAATGCCCTGGGGATGAGGGCGGCATTCCCTCCTCCAGGAAGCAGTCCTCCTCGTCTTCAGGCTCTTGCTTCATTATGCTTTCCAGCCTTTCTTTTAAAATTTCACGCGAAATCCTATCGCGGTATCTATACGCGCGGATTCAGTTTAATGCGATCAGCTCCAACGGTCTCTTAATATTTTATCCTTCAATTTTTTTTTCTTTTCAAATTATTCCAAGTCTTCTTTTCTTTGGATTCTTCTCCCTTGAAGTTTCTACACGAAAAACGATCAATTCTCACCTTACGGCGTTTATAAGGAAATCCGGAGAATTTTTATATCCTCCCGATTTCTACATGACATTCTCACGAGGAATTCTTTTTCTACTTATTATGCAACGAGTACTCGCACGCTTTCGTACCGAGATGTATATGCTAATAAATGTACGTTCAAAGCTTCACACCTCATGTGGATTTTTATGAATATTCAGAAATAGAAAAGTGAGTAACAATCGACGTTCCTAGTACGCTGTGAATAACTGAATCACCCCTTTCTAAGAAATAATCAATACAACGTTATGCTATGAATTTTCTTTCCACAAATCGCATTTACATTAATTTCTTCACTTTCGTGTGATAAAAAAAAAAGCCTAGTATTCAATAGTGCGTGGCGATCAATAGCGAAGAGTTCATGCAGAATTTTTAGACTCTGACATCAATAGCACAATACGCAGTAAAAATGAAGTAAGCTTTTGCCGTAAGTAGATAGACAGAAAATTCATTAGCAATTCCAATTTGTCTCGACAGGGAGAAACAATCGGCAGTCATTTGTCCAGTGGGACATTAAAATAATCGAAACGTCAGTATCTGAAGATATTGTCATGCAATGAGGGTGCATTAAAAAAATAAAAATACCGTCTCAAAATTCATATAATATCAAGCATTAAAGGGAGCATTGATTTTGGGAAAGATACATTATTGATTTTTTACTGCTCTTAATTCGTTAATGAGATATGAACGAGCCTTTATTTAACGTGAAATTCAATCAATTAGTACCGAGTGGCTCCTCTGTTAGAATGTTACGTGGACATCAGAATTACGAATCCCCAACGTGTTCCTCTCGCGGTTTTGACACTAGGCAAAAACTGAGCGATAAAGATAATAAATTTTATGAATTTTATTACGGCATAATTTCTTGTAGATTCTCGTAAATCGATGCAACCGTTAGACTAACCCGATTGCAGATCAACGATAACGCGCATTAACTTTCGTACGCCACGAATACGAACATGTTTTCGAATAATTTGAGTTTACTGGATCGATAAAGAGCGTCGTAGTCTCGTGAAGGAGAGTTCCTCTTTAACCTACGATACTCCCTTCCAAAATGGCGACTACGGTATTAAATGCGAACAAAAATAACGATACAGCTACTCAAATTGAATTAGTAGCGAAAGTAATTGATATGACTCCAAGTAAATTAAAAATGTTTGTTGGATCAACAACGATATACAAGCCGTAATTTCTTTCGGCACTCCGATGTAATTATTGACAAAAATTAATATACCGTATATATGAATTTCAGCAATACTTATCGACTTTAGATTTAATTACTAATTAAAATTTTTAGTCTAGCCTATAGTCTAGTCTCTTTAGAATTCGCCGATTGTGTATATTGTCAATTCAAGCGAGATGTGTCAAACATATGATAAAGTGAAAAGAAAGATTAAATTAATTAAATTGTATTAAAGGAAAATGAGATAAAAGGGATAATCGAAAAAAAAAACGCTCCTACGATCTCTATAGGTTGTCATTGGATATTTATTATGCACTTAGATCATTGAATAACAGGAATATACGTTCCAATATTGAAAGAAATATATGAAAGGTAATATAGTATAAGGATCGATCAGTAAATCAATTATAATAGATTCAAGTACATAATCGCGCACACCTATTCGCGAGAATCGAAAGAAGAAATGACTGAGCGGCGATTCAGAAATAAAAAATAGGCCACGTGTAAAAATGTTAAAAAAAAGAAATAAAACAAGATGAACTCTTCCGCCTTTGGTCGAAGCCATAACGCTCTGTTGAGAATGACTAGATAACGCAAAAAAGCTGATACAAAATGAAGAAGCGGTTGACGAAAGTAGGAAGAAAGTTAACTGAAAACCATAAAAAGAGTAAATAAAGAATAAATACAAATTAAAGAACGAAGTAATATATTTTGTTTACTAAAAACAATAAAGTTTGCCTAAAACAAGATGAAGCACATGCAAAAGTGAACGATAAGAAATATCAATAGAAGCAAGGAAGATAAGATACAAATAGTAACATGGTGACGTAAAAGGGACTGAAGAGGGCTATGGTAATTCACGAAACAGTGATCAGAGAACATTGATGATACCATATTCCCGTGCTCGACATCTTGAATTAATAAAAACAAACATGGCGAGGGCGATTGCGCGTACCGCGGTATACACTCCGCTCAAAAAATTTCGACTATTACTATTAGCATGCAGCCATTTAAAGCGGTATTCCATCCGCGCAAGACGCGCTATAAAAAGCAATGATAATCTTGTCTCACACCACTGATAATACGTTTATAAGAGAGCACGTAAATGCACATGTATCATATACGGATACACGCGGTACCGGACGGCCACTTCGCGAACTGCTGCAACGAATCGAGCACGAAAGCTCGTTAGCACTTATCACCGCTGTTTTTATAGTTATCACTGTATTATTACTGCTACTAGTAGTCATAACTAATCTAGTAGTAGAAGAAGAAGAAGAAGGAAGGGAAGATTCAGTCAGCGTGTCTTACAGCGGATTACGTCGTGCTTGCATGAAGGAACAGCTAGAGCATCAGCAACAACAATAACAACAACAAATAACAGTAGCAACAAAAAAAATGCAGGTCGCCAATAATAACTACGATCCGGTTAACTGTGCTCCTGATACCGTGTACGACGCACGCCGCGATTCTCGACTCTTTCCGTTGGGCTTAACCGAGCGAGCACTCGTTGCACAGAATATAGTCTCTATCAGTGTCGAACAATGCGTATACATATATGTAGATGAAACGAACCGAGCTTGTATCCACGTTCTAAGCAACACCCAAAAGCCGGCGAGATTCCGCGTAGACTCGACGGTAACGTCTTCACGATCGTCGAATCGGATTGGTCGGTTCTACCGAGAGCCAATGCGAAGAATCGTTTCGCCCGTAGGAACGTGAGCTTAGAAGATGGCCGATGTGCTTTGCACTGTGCTTCCGAGGTTCACAGGCAACGATTCCCCCAACCTGAACCCGGGAATGACTAAAATCGAAATCGGTGGCCGAGGGGCGTCGGGACGCGCATGTGCGACGGCGCCGGTCGTCAACGCATTATCCGTATCATATGTGTGCCATACTAACCGACCTGATTACATCGGCTCACCCTGCGAATTCATCGATTAACGTGTTGCACGAGAGACGAGACTGCTGTCGAAATGCCGTCCACGCCGCCACGAGACTTCTCTCACCCTGTTCGTAAGTCCAACCTAACCTAACCTTGCCTAACCCATCAATGACGTTCTCCCTCTTTCTGTCACTCTTATTCACTCACTCGTTCTTTCTTACTCTCACGCGTCTCCCTCTCTTTGACTACAATCACTTTCCGTTATTACGACTCACTTCCCTCTCTCTTTGGATTTCTTTCTCTACAGACAGCACACGAGTTATATCCTTATATCGTCTACTCTATGCGTTACGTATCACAGTGCTATAGATAACCGTGCATGTATGTACCTACAATGCACGACCGACAACGATCCCTTAACTTACTTCGACCGTTCCGTATTTCTTGGCTGTTTCGAATAGATGCCGGTTGTCAGGCGTCCCTTCCTTTCTCACGCAGAAATATAACCTACATCACTCATATTAGCCTATCTCTACCTGCACAACTGGATTATTATGCCATTGTCCTGACGAAAGACGTACCGTTCTCTGTGGACAATCTACATACCTGCATGGTAACGTACAAACTCATATGGTTCATATACGACGAACCATGTTGGCGACGCGGTTCGAATTCAATGGATAAACAGATTCCCTTCTCGTGGCGCCACTTACGCTTTTCGGGATTTGGTTGAGCTCGTGTCAGCCGGCTGGGATGCCGATGGACCAAAATAGGGTTCTTACAGGAGATAATATTTCAAGGTATAAATTTCTTGCATGCTCGATTCAAAACTGACGATCGGTCATTTTTCCATGTAATTTTTAGAGACTGACGGTATTGTTAATATTGTTGTGAAAGATTTAGGTGTTGATTTTTTTTATTTATTCAAATTAAATCTTAATTAATGAATGACGCTGCTGAGGCATGACGTGGGATTATTTAATTAATAAAGTATTACGAGAATATTTTTCATGCAGGGGTAATTGTTTGCTTGACTTCAAATTTCATAGTGAATTCTTTGACGGAGATGAAAATTTGTTGAAACTTTATTTTTACGATAAAAAAAGTATGTTCATTTGCTTCGTAGTGTGCGAATAAGAGCATCCAATTAAATTTGTATAAAAATTGCGACGCATAATAGAAAATATTGTATAATGTCTAAAACCATTTCCGTATGATTTATCGTGTGCATGACGTAAATATATATTGAGTGTAGCATGTGTGAAATGTGGTACCACCGTAGAGTTCAAAATAATAATAAACGAATTAAATGCTCGTAATAATTTCAAGCTTATGATTTTCTTTTCGCCTTGGTAAAAAAATGTGTTAAATGCATTTCTGACGTTCCGCGTTGTTTTACGTAGTAGGTATATCAACATATTTTTAAAAAAACAATGAATAAAAATGATAATAACTTACGTACAACTCGTTAAAATAATTTCCCACCTTTTTTATCCTTTAGTATAATTTATTATAGACATTGTCTTATTGTTAGTAAGACTTACCTTTTTTCATATGTACAGTGCCTTTCAAAGGTCTGCGTACAGTTAATAAAATGCGATGTTACTGTGCAAACATTCTTAAAGAACGCAAAATAGTAAATGCTTCTTAGACGCGAATAAACTTTACTCTTCCCACTGAACAACGTATACAGCACAGCACGTGTGTTTTAAATTAAAGGAACTAGAAACAAAAAAAGTATGAAAGGTCCGAAAATTCCTTGGGAAAAGTCTGCGCGCATACGTTGTTTAACGGAGAGAATAAAGTTTATTTCCGTCTAACAAGCATTTGCTATGTTGCGTCCTTGAAAAATATATAAATCATTTTTAAAACATCAATAACAAATCATGAATAAGTTTGTAGCAAACTCTACATTAAATTTTTAAAAAGTTACATTCCCTCCTCTAATTTATCCTTATTTCCGTTCAATTTCATAATTATTGATCTTAGCCGTGCAGATGATCATGTTCATACTTAAAATATGAAATTTTACAATCAACATTTATTCGTTACAGTTTTAAGAACGAGAACGTTATTTCGGCCATGAATGAGTGGCCTTTAGTCATTGGCCCCAAAATACTATATTTTTATATCGCTACCCAGCTAATACTTCCGGCACAATCACATATAACACATGAGTAACAAGATTTTATACATGTATGGTATAACACGTGTATCCAGACAAAAAAAAAATGTTGTTGATAAATGTTACATACATTGTGCTGATTTAAAAAAGAAAAACTAAATGTCATAAGTACGATGCTGTTTTATAACATTGACAGCATGCATCGATATAGAATTAACTTTATAATATCTAATACATTATGTTTCACACGTTAGCTTCATGTTATATTACATGTTGGATTCTCTTTTGTAATTGTTTTATTTATGATACAAACAGCAGTGCTAGCTGGGTAAACGTTTATAAATGTACTTTGCATGTACTTACTTTTTTCATCACTTGACTGACTGTGTCGCCCTTGTTCCGGCAATCGTGATTGGTCTTGCCATTCTAGCATACCACCGAAGTTCCCGTCATTTGCGCTTGGCGATAACCTCGATCCCATACCATCAACTTGTTCCTCTTCTGTAAGTATAGAAAAAGTAAACGTTATGATCCTTCGGAGATCACGTTATAGTATCGTTATTATTATTTACATAACATCCGCTGCCTTTTACAGCTAACCTGGAAGAATCCGAGGCTGACCCAGAGCGATGTATCGTTTTCTGGCCAAATGTGCAGCTGCGAAATCTGGTGTATGATTGTGATCCATACGTACACGTGGCTTCTTGCAATCAATTGTAGTTATCAAACTTCCTCGACAGTGCAACGTTCTACCGACGCATCTCCACCTTATGTTATGGGGTTGTTTTTTATGAAGAGTATACATGTAACCTTTATGAATAACTTTGGGACCTCCTTTATTCGACAGAACAACCTGGAAATTCGAATTTAGCATGTTACAGAGTGTATGAAGATTTAGTGCTGTTGTAATATATACCTCGGCAACGTTTGAATCTTCTTCCATGGTTTCCTCTATCTTTACCGTTAATTCTCTAGGATTAGGTTCCTCTGTTTCCGAATGTCCGCTGCTACTTGATATTCTCTCTGGACGTCGTGACATCTCCGTCAAAAATCTATGGAAAAAAAAGTAATTGTGAATTCATCAGGATTTTTTATTAATATACTTTTTTTATTGTATAATAATTTTCGACAAATTTTCATATAATACGTTGATATTTATCACGCCGGGAATAGCGCGATATACACAACAAATTAAAATTATCATGTTTAGTCACTTTTTAAAGCAATTCAATATTTTTTCCACCGGAAGTTGTCTCTTTTTTTTTCATTATATTTTATCTTGTAAACCGTTCTGTCGCATTTTCACGGATCAATGAGAGTGGCAAAAACATGGTTACACATATAATATGTGAAATATTTGAAATGAACACTGAAATATTTGAATGATTTCCACACTTTTTTTTCAGATACTAATTTACATTATTACTCCTACGGAGCATAGGAATTCTCAAAATCGTATAGTTAAATAACCCAATAGTCATATATTCCTTGTTAAAAAAAATAAATATATTGAAAAACTACACGAAAAAAAGAGACTTAAGATTTATTGTAATAAAACAGTATATATAACAACAGGGTTTCGATAAAATCCGTATCTTATCATTTACCCCAATTTCATCAGTAACGAGTATCGATGCGCGATGTGGCAATCGTAGCGTTTTCTATTAAAAGCGATGATTATACATACAAGTGTTGCTTTCTTCAAGTAGATAACTTTTTCCCCAAATGTCTAAACTAATATAATCAGTTTAGATGAAAACAATCATTCATTTATATAAAAGAGAAGAGAGCACATGGTGTATGATATAGCCCGCCGTGAGTCCAACCATTGCGCCGTCACTGAGCGCACTTGCAAGCATTTTCGAAACGGAAAACGTCCCTCCTTTATCTTGTTCGAGAGCAACAAGTCGTCGGCCGTGGTGAATGACAACTAGTTAATTCTCCGGGAATCGACTTCATTGCGTTTGAATTTACGTTCATACCGCAAACAACTGTATGGCGCTGTATTTATTGATAAACAATGGCTCATTACCCAAAGTAATTATAGCAACTCGGGAGACAGACGACGAAATGCAGTGATATATTTGCAGAAATTAACTGTTGTAGGACAGGGTGGAGTGGTGTGTTACGAACACGCGGACGACAAACGCGTATGGTACTCGAGTTCCTCGTGGAATTTTGTATACTGACACAGCCAGGTTATATTGCACTTCGGCAATGTCGTTGTTTTAAAACGTTCAAATGGCCAACGCTGAACGTACTCGACTGAGAGGCGTTGGTGACTAGAGCAACGGAAATATGGCACCGTCGCGCTGTAATCAATAAACGGCACCACGGTACCCGGCACTTAAGGGACCGTTCACACTGACTACATGGTCTTACGCAATGACTACTATCCTCGGAATTATCATCGTTGCCGTTATTCATCCTTACGAGCGTACGAGTCTTACTGGGCCATCCATTGTTTTCTTGAGCCTCGAGCTGCTGCCTTTTGACAGAGTACAATTTTTAGTAATAGGATTTTGATATTTTGAAAAGATGAAACAATGATGTAACATTTTTGAATTTCGATTTCTTTATTCTTTAAGTTTCAATGCGATCATGCGTTTTAAATGTTTTTACATTTTTTCTTAGTTTAAACGAAAATTGTATTATACTGTCAATTATTTTTACGTGCTAATAATTATCGATCTGACCTTGATTCCCTTTTGTAATTATAAAGAAATTTTTGAAAAAAATTATTACCACATCATTAATGACTGTTATTGTTTTATTCAATGTATATGACATTGTTCTATACTCCAATGAAACTATTTTTAAATGTACGAAAAGGAGACTGCTTGACAATTTCAAAGTAGCTTCAAGGACATGCAAAAATATTTTTTCTGACTGTACTGACCAGCTAAGAAGACGTTGCACCGAAACAGTAGCGCTACGAAATGGCAAAGAGTTAGTAACTTTATGATCGTATAGGCATATCGATCCAAAACATTCAGGATTTAAAAAGGAAGCGCTAAATACGTATTTCTAATGCAGTTCGTACAATTTTGCATATTAATAACCAGACAACAAGCACCGGTGTATAACGTAAATATAACAATTGTGAAACAGGGTATAACGCGTAATATTAACATGAAACTAATATTTCAGATGCACGTTGGTTATTAATTTTCACTCGTACCAACATTGTACTGTAATATAATTAATATATCTTACAAATTATTGCATCGATATGTTAATAACAATGTAACTGGTGCATAACAATTTTATTCACTTCTTATAATAAATTTAATTAGAAAGAAATTTAAATTAGAAATTTATAATAAATTCTATAGTTTTCTGTAGCAGCTACGTAACAGTGACGTAAAAAAAAAAAAATTCCACAAATAATGTTGAAAAATCGAGTTACTTTATTGAAAAATATTCACCAAGTGTCGAATTTAAAAAAAAAATTTCTGACGTTTTTTCTCGTTGATTACCATTTTTTAACATTTTTCCATTGAAATGGCTGTATCTTTCGCAGGATTTGACGTATTTACATTTGTAAAAAACGAAAATGTGCGTCTTTTTATGGCCTTCCAGAATAGTATATTGTGCACCGAGAGCGAAAACGGGCGTTTCAGTGCCGCGTAGGGGGTGTGATTCTTGGGTCGGTACAAATAAGCAGGTTAGTTTGGTAACTTAGGAATTCACAATGAAACATCTGTGATCGTTTCATCAAAAATCTGTGCATCGTACAGCTTACATGAAAAAAACAATTGCCCCGGTGATAGCTGGTCGTTGGATTCGTCGGCAAATGTCACCTCACTCCTATTCAATTTTTTAATCTTCCACGTTTCCCCATTCGAGAATTGCCCGTTTTCGCTCCGCTGTTGAAGAAAAAAATTAATTTGTATTAAATTGAATTTTGTAATAAATTTGAACTTTTTTTTACTGGCTGAAGTGACATGGATCGCCTCATATGTGATAATTATGTTTACTGAAATTTTAATTCATTTTTTGAGTTATAGGTATTCCCAGGCCTTGAATAATTATACTCAAGGTTCTTAAAACACTTAATGTGGCTGGTAAAGCACACGTTGATACTTAGAATAAAGTACGTTGGTTTAAACTATTACTCTGATATACAGAATTGGGATATAAGCGTTAATTGCGAGTTGATTGTTCGCGCGTTGCCACCTAGCGGGCATACTTTCGACTACAGAATTCAGAATTCGTTAAACGTAGGAGGAATGAAATTTAATTAGGTCACAGTCTGTGCTATGTTTGGGTGACATTGGAATTTTAAATAACAGTTACATGGAGAGAATGTAATATTGTTATGTTGATCTGTCCAGTTTAAGTTACACAACAGTTATGTTGGACTAGTGAAAAATGACATATTATCATTGAACAATCTTTTATCGACTATACTCGTTATAAGGTATATATATATTATTGTGTTGATCTGTACGATCTGTACCTTGATGATATTTAGCGAAGAACGGTATAAAAATTTAGATACGCCGAGAAAAGCATTTAGTACATGAAGAAAAATAATATGAATATTTAACAGCAGTAGAAATCAGCCATTTAAATTTGTCTTGATTATCATTTATATAATTAGAATTAAATAACAACGTACATTTATATGTTAATATTTTATAATATAATTATTTTCATGCAATAGTTGTATTCTTACTCTGTCATTAAGCAACGCGGAGAATTCGACGCGTTAATATACAGTCATAACAGAAAGTACTTGGACGCTTCGGGGATTGGTGACAGACATCAGACAATACAAAGGTTACCTTTACCTTTACCTTTACTGTAATATTAGATGAAAATTTGGCGTGAACAATATCTTAATCGACAAGATTCGTCTCATTACCTGCATATGTGACACCTGAATAGGTTAATATTGCTCTTAGAGATATATCATGATCGAGTGGGCCTATTAATAAATTAAGTGTATTTGATTCTTGCTTCGAGTCAAAAATATTTTTTTTGACAATCAATGCACTGTTGGATTTTAATGGTGCGTTATTTAATGATAAACAATTTTCTTCTTTTTAGAAATCGTTAGATTTGTTTATGTAGAAGTAGCAAGCAGGATACTAAAAATACATAAGGAGTTATATTGCTAATTGTTATTATTGGTTAAAAATATGAAAAAATGCAATCACTTAAAGCGAATGCGGAATTTCGTGATTATTCTAACTGATTCAGTTCCGACTTACGGGTCAATAGTCATCGCGTGGTGTATTGTTTCCAGTATTGTGAAAAATAAGATAAAAGTAAAAATTCTACACAATCATAGAATCGGCTTAAACGCGCGAGCACTTATTATGTCTATAGTTCAATGGTAAAGCTATAATTTCGGTCGACTCCGTCGAATGATGATTAAAAGTATTTCGATAAATGTGATGAAATTACGAAGCTTTGAAGTCGCTAACTAAAAGTCACAATTATAAACTCGTGATAACAATTTTAGTCGAAACTTGAATATCACGAGCCAAGCACGTTGTCTAATTTCATGTCAAATGTGAATATCGTGTAATCCAAGGGGTTAAGAAGGTACGTTCAAGACCGGAATTTTTGTAAAAAGTTAGATCAAGTATGCATAAGACATTTATTTTAATGCGTTTGTGGTTCATTTAGAAGTGAAATTGTGTTTTTTACGTGGATAAATTTAATAATAGGCTCTAATCAATGACGCATGTTTGTTTTCACACCAATGACAATAAAAAGGTCCATTTTATCAATTTTATTTACGTAAACCATTCTCGACTTTGGACTTATACCTGAAGAACCAGATCAACATATTGTTTCGATGGATAAGTGCAATATATCTTTCATAATACATGCCTGATACGGAATGTTAGATTTATATTCAAATGAAAATATGAATAACAAAATGATAATCTTGTTTACCACAATAAAAATAATTATTCTAGGAATACGTAAACATGGGACAGATCGCACAAAAAATGTCTTAGTCTCAAGTTTATCCATTGGGACTGCTCAGGAATATTCTCGTACGTGCAATGTAAAACCTTCAGATTTATATATTTCCTGCCGTTTTTTTTTTTAATATCTTTGTATAAAATTATTTGGATTCGGTAATTCAAACTAAATTCAATTTCTACGTAGATTTAATATCAGCAGTGTAATTGGATTGGATAAAAATTTGTCGAGCAATAAATCTGTACACAGCGTGCGAGTGGTGATTCTGTTAGTGTGTCCGAGTGGAAAGAAGTCTCAGAAGCTTGAGTGGGGAGAAGATGCATATATAGTTCAAGAAGAAGGAAAAGTTATCAGTGAGTATATTGCGGGATGGTATATTTCACGAAATAAGTATACAATTATTATACATAGTAAGTGCCTCGCAGGGGAATTAAATTGTACTCATTATTGGAAATTGGCAAATTACATTTAAGGACTGAATAAAATTGCGGTACTAAATACAGGTCAGCAAATAAAATAGACGTATCCAGGAGGTATAAAAAAAGAATTACTTGAATTCAGATATATAAATCGTCCGAATTTCATTTGTGAATTATCGACTATAAGCTATGAGTGAAAATTCGGATATCGCAAACTGGTTCGCCGGAAAGTCTGTGTTTATCACAGGAGCAACAGGCTTCTTGGGAAAAGTTCTTATAGAGAAGCTTCTACGTTCCTGTCCAGATGTCGGGCCGATTTACGTCTTGGTACGTAGGAAGAAAGGCTGCGAATCCCATGACAGAATCAAAGAAATCATAGAGTCCAAAATCTTCGACAACGTCAAGAAGACTCAGGGTGACCTTACCACCAGGATCCATGCTATTCCTGGAGACTTGAGTGAACCATATTTGGGCATTTGCCCGAAGGACAGAGAAATACTTGAAAAAACAGTATCCGTCGTATTTCACTCGGCTGCCACTGTAAGATTTACGGAGTGTCTTAGGTTAGCAATAACGGTGAATGTCGCTGCGACAAAAACTCTTATGGAACTATGTTGTGGAATGGAAAAACTCGAGTCTGCTATCCACGTGTCTACCGCTTATGCGAATTGCACTCATGAAATAATTGAGGAACGGATTTACGAACCTCCTGTTGACGCTCAAAAAAGTCTTCAGTGGGTGGATGATTTTGACGATGATATTTTGGACTTCGTTACACCGCGGTAAGTCTTTTTTTTCTTCAAAATTTACTTCATTAAAGTCTATTAATTTTTGTAAGAGGTATGTAAATACCCCCTTTTTTTATAACGTGAATTTATATTTTATGAACGTTGTTCGATCATTAATGAAAATAGTAACAAGTGTTCATATATTAGACAGTCGGTAAAAAATAATTATTTTTCAAGTTCGAAAATTAATTCATTTCATACGAAATTATGAAAGAGAAAACGATGACAAATAAATGTATCTATTATCCTGAGAAAATTGAAACTTACAGGTCAGAAGACATTTTTTTACAGACTTCTTGTCTTGTATAACTTTTATCTTAAAACTTTAGAAGAAAACGTACTAAATAATATCTGGGATTGACTCAGAGAGCGCATGATCGTGACGAAAGTGACAGTAAAGGGGTGTAAGGTGGGCTGTTTGTGTTATGAAATTCGCCAAAATTCATAGTTACGGTTTGTCAATAATTCTTTTTAAAAATGTTTAAATAATTAACGATCAAATAATAATAATATCTGTAAACCGTTTTAGTATTAATTTTTATGGGGAAGAATATATCATTTTCATAAAAATGCTTGTGTCGTCAAACTTATAATTTTAGCCTGATTTTAGGTTTCTGTAAAATCCATACTATTGTAATTAACATTTTCAAGGAAATTATTTAACGAAAATCCTTTAGTAACTTTTAATTATCCTATACAAAAAAAAAACAGTAAAAAGCGGGTTTTTATTGATACGAATAATTTTCTGAAACACTGTGATCGTGAAGTAATTTAGCACTCTCATTTGAGACCCTCGATATATATATATTTTTCAAAAAAATCATCTATCCGGTATTTGGAATAATAAATAATCAGATTTTTGCAAAGCCTTATTAGTAATAACTATCGTTAAAAAAAAAAACGATACGATCGTGTACTTAAAAAAAACGCGGCTGTTCTCAGATTTAACATTGGTCAAAGATTACTTTTTATTTATTGTGTTACGTACAATTTTTGAAAACCACATTCCACCTCCATCCGGATTGTTTTATAACTGTAAAATAAGAAATTACGTTGAGATTGAAATATGGAGGACTATTGCAATTATTAAGTTCCTTCTACAATTTTTTTTATAAATATTTTCTATTTTCAGAATATTAAAAAACCATCCAAATACGTATACCTTCACAAAAGCATTGGGAGAACAGGTTGTTAATGAATATGCAAAAAAATTACCTATAGCCATTGTACGTCCATCGATTGTAACAGCATCTTGGAAAGAACCTGAACCCGGATGGATAGATAGTCCGAATGGACCAGCAGGTCTAATTATATTTGCTAAATATGGCTTTGTCCAGAGTCTACCTCTTAGTAGAAATACAATTGCTGATTTAATTCCAATAGACATCTGTGTTAACCTCATTATTGCTGCTGCTTGGCGGACCGGTACGTGTGGTGTTGTCTTATGTGTATAATTAATTTCCTTATTATGATTAATATTGTACAATTGAATTTTATAATGAATTTTTGACGATGCACAGGAAAAGACCGAAATTATAAAACGGAAATACCGATTTATAACAATGTATCAGGTCCATTTAATCCAATCAGATGGCGCCAGTTCATAGAAGAAATTAATGCTTGTAACTACAGATACGGACTTATTGGTGGCATTTTCAATACAAAGGTCAGCCTGTCTTCGAACCGATTGACACATTTCTTAAGATGGAATATTTTGCAATTTACGTTAGTCAATATATTGGATTTAGTTGCTTGGAGCATATGGAAAAACCCAATGTACGTTTGGTTTGATAAAAATATTTGTATAATTTTTAAACAAGTATAGATCTTTCTTTGTGTAGTTTAATATAATTCTACATTGGTTTTACCTCTTTGCAGATTTCGGAGTGCGCATAGAAAGATCGGTAAATACATGGAGAATGTTGTATATTTTTCTGAAAATGAATGGGACTTCCAGAAAAGCAATGTGGATGATTTATACCAGAGGTTATCACCAACCGATCAAAGAATATTTGATTTTAATGTAAGGAATATAAATTGGAAAGAATATATAAGTCAATATGTATTGGGAATCAAGAAGCATGTAATGAAGGAGAATGAAGAGTCTACACCTGCTATACGAAGAAAAAATAGAATAATCAAAATGATATCCCGCGTTGTTAAGTACAGCGTTCTTATAAGCAGTGGATATTTTGCTTTCAATTATTATAAACTTAGCATGCCTTCTTTCTAGTCTGCCTTTCATTAAAATGGTTTTATTTAAGTTTCTGACAGATAACTAATTATTTGACTTTAATAAGAAGCTGTAAAAACTTTTTTTTAAAACAAGAAGACCTGCTTATGTTATTTTCTTATATTTCTAAAGAATTTCGGTTATAAATAAAAATTCTATATCATAATTCGTAGAAGATTTCAATATAGCTAGTATACCAGCGTAAAGTAATTTGAATATCATAACAAAATTCTTGTTTTATGATTTAACCAGCATATTAAGGATCGGCAGAAATAAAATATGCTCGAAAAACAATGTTTATTTATGTAGAAATACGAATCAAAATGTCAAAGGGTGAACGAAAATCGAATGAAGAATTATTAGTAGAGAGAAACTATTAATAACTGAAATCGTAGATACGACCTTGCATTGTCCGTGGACTTCGACGACTGCCCCCTTTTCCCCCTCTGCCCCACAGTACCAGCGCCGGGGCGTCAGAGCTGCGAACGATCCCAGGGGCCCAGTCCCACGTTTGTTTATTACATATAGTTTTTATTGAAACTATTCAAACTTTACTGACTCATGTGTAAGAAATAATTGTAGAAGATTTGAGTAAACGTTTATAACTCAAATACCTGTCCGATCTTATATTGTTGGTATATTTAATATTTCGGAGAAAGCAATTTAGTTACAATAAAAATGTATGAATAATTTAATAAAAAAAAAAAAAAAGCGTGACATGGGGTACTAAAAGTCATAAATTCTGTTATAGTCAATTTTTCATATAGCTAAAAAAAACTGTTGCCTAAGTAAAAGATTATAACACCTCGTAAAATATATTTCGTTAATTCAGTAAATAAGGCGTCTTTTTATATGTATATGTTGTTAATGAATTATTATATAATTAATTTAAAAAAAAAGTAGTCAAGTAGCGTGTTGGGCACGCACATGACAGGGTTCCGTAGTCATTCTGTACTAGCCATTGGCGAAAGATGAAATCTCCACAAAAGCATACGTGTTCGTGTGACGATTTATAGAAAAAGAAGCCGAAGCCAAAATTGCAGTCAAATTGATTTATTAAATGTAGAAATTGTACATTTATATAAAGGCCAACTTTCAACTTGATTAAACTACTACTGATAACGACTTTGAAAACAAATATGTCGTGACTGAAGGGTTAAAATGAGAAGGTCTAAGGACCTTTTAAATTGCATTTGAGAAAACCTATTAAAAGACACTTCACTGGATGGGGTGAGCAAAAAACTTTCGAGTTCACTTATTAGTTTGCGGGAGGGGAATAAACAAAATTTTTTCTTAAACCTTATCATTTCTGTTTTTGAATCATCGATTTACGTCTGTGTATCAAATTTTATCTTAATCGGTCCATAAATGAGAGAATGGGAGGCCTGTGACGTACAGACATACGGACGAACTAACCGAAACCATAAGGGTTCCTAGATTTCTACGGAACCCTAAAAACAGTCTGTATCGACATTGTAACATACAGTTATGGTGATCCACTAAACGTTAATAAATTTCTGCAATAGTTCATTGTTTTTTAATCTGTTTTATAATAGTACAGTATAATGTTAATTAAATTAATAATATTAAATATTGTTTTGTTGTATGCATCATGTGACCGGATAACATTACAGACGAGACTAGCTGGTGGTGACCTTCGCAGCGCTATCATAACCTCCTTATCCACTTCCGCCTCTTCTTCTTTAGTCTCTCACGCTAAATAATCGTAATTCATCAATTTCTTACTTTTAGTAAGTAATTTGTTAAATCTTTCTTTACGCATTTTTTCTTCCTTATTTCGTTTTTTCTTCATCAATATTCATTTGTTGGCAGCGGTGAACGATAGATGGTAAAACAATGTTTTTCAATTTTTTTGTTAAATAGGGGAAGCCCACTCCGACTTATATAACAAATAGCTTAAGTTTAAATACCCTCCATTTAAAAATGAATCAAGGATTAAACTATTCGCAATTTGAATATCTCAAAGACACTGGCAACGAGCGGCAAATAAATTCGAGTACAATTATCAAAATTCTCTAAAATACGTATGTGCCTTTAAAACGGTAATACCCTATTGTATATTATCATTGGCGCAATGATTCATGCATAATCTTCAAGAATTAAGACAAGGGTATCAAAAGTTAATTCGTATTACAAAACGCTAAATGAGGTATCATCAATAAAACAAGAATATAATTTTCAACAATTTCATTAAATACGGACAATGAATCCTCGAAAACCAGGCGAATCGATCGCTTCTCGTGAAATACTATCACTTTTCCTATTATCGTTTAGAGTTTTTCACGAATTGTACTAATTCTTTTAATTGCGAATCATCGCGCAAACAATGTACAACTTATAAAACGACTGCGTAACGCATTCACCATTATGTCTTGGTAATTGATTTACTGGGAAATACATTTTTGTTCTATTTTATTCAGGAAGTATCACTAGGGACTAGAGTATACCTAGAGAATAGACTATACCTTTTACTCCGCATTAAACCAAAGGACCTGTCGCACGACTGCAAGTCAGCGAACTTAAGTGTATATATATATACCTATACATATATATATTAAAATACACGTATAGGACTCAAATCACGCATGCCACATGGTTTTTGTTTTCTCAAGTTTTCTCATAAGAATCGCTTCGTTCCTTTATTTATATATAATATCCGAGTCTCTTGCATCAATTTGTCAACTTGATACAAAAAGGTTTAACATCTCTGTCTAACGGTTATACCCTTTATGAAAGGTACCGAGACCCCACTTCTCCCCTTAATTCTAAGCAATTTCTCAGTAGAAATGCTTTTGATCGATATCAGAAGTACTCGAGGTATACCACGATAAATATTAAATTTACGACAATTACTTTTCAATTATCATGCAACAGACTCGATATTTCTTTCCTTTACTCTCTAAATTATCATTTAATTGAGACAAAGGCTGCCGCGCTTGATTTCCCATCACGTCCGTTGATAAACAAATGTTATAATTTTAACATAAGCAATAAAATAACAAATTATTAATTATACGTTTCCCAGTTGCCGATGCCTTTAAAATTTTACCAAAGATTAAGACTATACTCCACGATAACAATAAATATGTAAGATACCTTGAGATATTTTTTCCCTTTAAGTGCTTATATCAAGCCAGTGTCATATGCTCAATTGACATTGACTCGAAATATGTACTCTATAATTTGTTTGCGTATTGTATTTATTAACGACTTTAAGCTCGTTACACTATCTGCGACGTCATTACGTTCGCAGAGGTAATGAGAATTTGGGATATAATCTAGTACAGATTAATCCATTTCTAAATATCTGACCTAGGTATCTCACAGCGTAGAAGAGCACAAGAAAAGAATGCCAGATACCGACGAATATAAAAAATGGATGGGTGTCTTATACGATACGTAGACGAACCTTCGTATGATTTAGCGATTGGTATTAGCTAACTCGGGCCCTACGCAACGCGAAGAAGCTTTGAGTCGTATTTAAGCTTCTTCTCGTTAAGACCGTACGTCGTTAATTGTATTAATATCACAAATTCATGTTTCCCGCCACGAATCAAAGTCGCGGTCCATCGACACTCATGTAATATTGAATAATATCAAGATAGGATCTCGATAATTAGAGAAAACGGTCACAAGGAGGTAGCAGGCGCGTTCGTTAATTCATTCCTTGCATTACAATAAGAGAATCCGGATGAAAACTCTGCCGATCGTAGGTAATAATAATAAAAAGCGCCGTTTCTTAATGTATTCGGTGCGATTTTTATTATTGAACTTATTAAACGCGTTCTAATGTAATAACAGTTGCCTTTATAAGGGTGTACAAGTTTACGTCTTTTGAAAGCTTTCTAAAAGAATCAGCCTGCTTATGGCACGATAGGAAGTAACGCTGCAATTCGCCACTTACATGTTAATTGAAACGGATTGCAGGTGTCTCTGCGGCACGCTCGTTCGATTCGATCGGTAGCCGACATTCTTCAAAAGAATTACACACCCCTAGCCATCGCTAATATTTACGAATGAATATAAACATTGAAAAGGCCAACTCATGGGAGTGCAAATAGAGCCTTATCGTCGAGGAGGCTGAGCGGTAAGGTCGAGGGGCGTTCTTTCGCGCCTTTAGATTATGCTCTGAAGTTAGCTTCTGCTTTTTATTACGCGTATTATTATCGTCAACCGGGGTTCTGAGCCGTCAAACAATCATGCGGCACATGCGGAGCACGATAGACAAAAGAGAGAACCAGGCTGATCGCGCTAAGGAGCTGCGCGACAGAAACACACGCAGGACTATTAACAGCGCTCCAAATTGCACCGCCCGGTGCAGCCAGTATAATCTGTAAAGGAAAACGAAGGACCGATAAATATCATTGTTGTCTTACTTATACCATTTATACTATTCACAAAATTTAACTCACTTTGTGATGTGTGAGCGGGCAGCTGGCAGTGTATCCGGGCTTTCCTTGAGGATGAACTGTCGAATTCCCACAATATAATGCTCTAAGTAAGACGGCCAGTCGATCTGCTTCACGTCAAACATGAACGTCTGCCTGTCTTCGGGACTGAGCTCTTCTCCCAACCTTCTAACATTGTCATCCATGAAGTTCCACTGTTGCGTACTGAAGTACTCCAAACACTGAGCTGCCTTTTCCAGCTTTTCTTGAACACGAACCATTATGGGTCGCGTGCCTCTGATGCGCGCAAGTAGATCTAAGATGTGAGCCGGAAGTTTGTGCTGAAACGTTATGCACAATTGATTGAGAATCGTAGAACTTCGGCAGCAGCCACCCGGATACCAGACTGCGTCATTGGCTGGATGTAATCGACTGTATTTGAAAGACAGATCGACGAATTGTTTCCACGTTATAGGATTTTGTTGACCGGTACAGCAGTTATAGACAGTGATACTTTCAGAACGATGAGTCGCTGTCCTCCAGGCAGCGCAGATCATCAAATTGATGACAATGTCAACCGGAACGAGATCAGCGACCTTCTGTTCATGACATAGCATTGTTCTGTAATAGAAGTATTGTGTCATTCATCTACCCCTCACACACGTCACTCCACAAAATCTTTATCAATCGTAGGTTTTTTTCTCACCTGAAGAAACCTTTACCAGCAGCAGCTATTATTCCAGTTGGACCATTCCAATTATCGACCCAACCAGCCACTGGTTCCCTGAATGATGACAGTACGATAGACGGTCTGACTATTGCCACAGGTAAACTACCACTCTCCCTGAGAAGCATCCTCTCGGCCAATGCTTTGGTAAACGTGTATGTATTTGGTCGTCCGGCAATCAATCTAGGTGTCAATTCGTCGACCAAGGCGTCGTCCATCCATTTCGTACAAGCGATCACTTGCTCAGGATCTTGCGGTGCTGGATAGATTTCCTCACCCACATCCTTACGATCGCAGTTGCAATAAGCGGTAGAGACATGAATGAGAGCCTGATGACAGAAGAATACAAGTCATTAGACATTATTTATTATTCTACAATGTTTAGAGAGTTCAATAAAAAGACAGCAGCATCGATCATTAGGCCGCATGCATAATTTATCTAAACACTTTCTCGGTGTTCACTGGTTGAACATTAGACACTGATGCAACAGATTTCTGAGGCACTTGAATTTGCATTAGTTACTCAACTTTTCAACGCAACAGCATAACGCGTAAATGACAGTAATACGCCATTGTCACCAGGAAACCATTAATATAAATATTAACCTTGTAACCATGTTTGCTTGACTAATAGGTACAAAGTATATGTCAGATTCTAATGTTAATACACCTTAATATATCGTAGCTATTGACATAGAAGATTGGCAAGCAAGTCAAAGTCCAACTCTTGGATTAAGATTTCAAGGAAGTCGTCCTCAAAGGTATTTTTTGTGTTATTCATTAGGACGTAATCGCAAAGTTTTCGACCACATGTAAAATCATCGGCACTTCTACGTGGAAACACGTACTAATGTTTTATGTATATGCTGAATTATTATAACGTCCTAGCACGTATTCTTAAGAGTTTACCTCAAGGTTGTGCATGCGATGGCACAGCTCGACAAGGCGCTTAGTTCCAAGCATGTTGATGGTTACAGATAGTTTTAAGGCCTCGTCGAATTTGACGGTAGCTGCTGAATGAAACACCACCGAAACATATCGAATCAGCGTTTCCTGATCGATTTCCGAGATACCCAATTCAGATTCCGTTACGTCGCCGGCTACGGGTATTATTTTCGTCAGCTCCAAAGGACAGTCCCGGCGCAGTTTCTCGAACAGCTATTGAATATGATTAAAAGGGCAATCAATACAGGATTAGAAAAACAATCAAGAACGATACGTAAGAGAATGAAAAATGAAATTAAAGACACAAGAGAAAAGTAATAAAAATTGTTAACCTACCGGCCCATTCAAAAGTTCCTGTAACCTTTGCTGAACATCCTGTCCCCTCTTCGGCCTTATTAGCAAATAAATATTCTTTATCCCAGGACAGGATCTTAGCAGCTTCTCCACGAGGACCTTCCCCATAAATCCTGTACCACCGGTGATGAAGATCGAGCGATCTCGATAGAAATCTTTGACTGAAGTATAGTCGCCGCTTGTCATTGTGGCCATCTCCCTGAGTGACTAGATTATTAAATACGTTACGACAGAACGCTTCGAAGAAAACGGAAGAGAGCGTGCGTGGAGACGAAAACTCGTAAAGATTTTTTTTTTCTTTCTTTCAAAGACGAAGACTCCTCTTGATGTGCGTTGAAGACTGCTTCTCGTTTTTGTTCTTTCTGGATTCTCCAAGTGGACTCATGGATACGTCTAGACTCATTGCGCGCAAATGAAATCGCTCTTCCTGCAACAGACAAAAGTCAACAAAATTAAAATTTAAAAACAAATACAGAATTACTCGCGGTCATCGATGGCAGATAAAATTATTTCAACGCTTTTATTTTGGCGACAATAAAATTTTGGAAAATTCACAATAAAATTTAATTTACAAATATACACCTTTCCGAACGCGACTATTTATTTTTACATTTTTTTCTTTTATCAAAATGTCAAATAATGTATCACCGACGAAATACTCGCTTGTCTATATATTTGTATATTACGAATTTATTTTCTGAATGGAAATAGTTGCACATGTTTCGTTTATAGTTGGATATTAATTACAGCCACGTCATCAATGATTAATTCGCCAACGTAACGGATAACGTACACCTTATACTTACGCTTGTATACTTTTACATGAAACTACAATGCAACGATACTCGATAATTTTTACACGTGTCAAGAATAATTATTAAAAAATACAAAAAAAAACACACTTCTGTCCAAATCTTTATAAAAGCGCAATATCAAGGAAACAAAATTTCTTAAAATGATACGAAAGCGATTTTTAAAGAATGACTAGTCTGCCTATTCTCATTCATAATATTCATCAGCCAGTAACACTTTAATGACCAAACGAGAGAGCCGAAAAAAAAGAAGTGCCAAAACCGATAGTCTAAACGTGCCTAAGTACCTTACCACAAGTGTCTGAATAGTTGGGAATATAGAGCCCGTGTAGTCGCATATGCACGGTATCGGTAAAAAGTACGTGATAAGGCTAAGATAACACAGACCATCTCCATTCTGATAAATAATCATTTAGACTCTTCCTCGAATCTTCTGCGATAGCACGATTCGATTAAAGACTATAAATATTCATACTACTGTGTATGTACATTGATCATCGCATCTGTTACACGTAGAATTGAATCCTATAATAAAAAAAAAAGACACGAAAAAAATATCCTGGACAAAATATCGTAACATAGCTCACAAGATAGCGTTAACTTGATAAGAATGCAGTGTAATTTGCTTAGACTTTTGACTGTTTGACAAAAATTCAAAGACGTTCTAAACCATTGTAACGACAGTTTGGCGATTCTCTGTGGTTGAATGGTAGACAAATTTGATAACCGATAAAACAGTTTAATCAATTTTTTCAAAATTATATAAAAAAAAAATTATAAGACTCTTTAGATTGCGTGGGGAGACAGTTACCGTTCTGACTCACTTTAGCGTTCTAACAGTCAATACAGTTACGGCTGCTCAATAGTTTTTAATCTTGATCAGAACACTCCAGTGGTTCGTCTATCGAGGCAAAGAAGCCGATGACACAGTAAATATGGTCGGTCATGAGGATTTAACTAGACGGATAAAGGTCACTGATCTCAGCAAGGCAACGCTGTAAGTAGTTATACCGCGTAATGGATCAATAAAATTTCGCAAAGATAACTTATCAGTTTGACTTTTAAGAATTTTGGTAAAGTTGATTAATTGCAAATAGATTACCGGTTCGTCGATGACGCATGCGTGCGACGCGTCGGTCTATAGTGTAACTGGATTTTATGACAATGGTACAAGAGGGAGAGAGAGAGAGAGATAGACAAAAACGTGATTCGGTAGCACTATGATTTTTGTTACTTCGAATTAGCGACACCTCGCAGTACGGTACCTAGTGCGATAAGTTCCCGGTCGCGATAAAATTATCGCCTGTATTACGATAACCAGTGAGATATGCTTCGTGTAATACGAGCAGCTTAAACGGAACCTGAAATGAAGATAAGCAGTTAAGTGTACGTTAAAGTCACCGTTTCAAGACGGCAAGATAAAGAAAGACACGAAAATACGAAAAAAAGAGAATTACAAGTCCCGTGGAAAGATCCTAACCTCAAATTCCGTAACTGTAAATAACGTATACATCGTGCACGGAGAAAAGAATTCGGCTGACAACAAGAGAGACTATCGATTTCTTTTTGTCTCATAGTCCGAAAGAGTCTGTCGAAGTTGAAATCGGAACAGCTACAGTATCTTGCGATATTGTTCCTTGGAATTTTCAATCGTAAAATGGTGGATCATGGGAAAGGATTGTTTCTCCGATAGTAATTTCAATTTTTAATTTACCGCTACCGTTATTAAAGTACGTTATGGATTTTTAATTGTCTTTTAAAATTTCATTCGGCAATGGCACGACTCTTGGCTGTCACAGTCTTATGATATCTCTACATATCGACATTATTTTCTTCGAATTTTCACTGTGTCCTCGTTAGCTCGTACAATCGTACCACGTTAACCACCGATGACAAAGTTTTCATTGTGGAACGAGCCCAAGCTCGAAGATGAGGATGGAATAGCAAATGACGTACGATACCACCGGTATAATTATATGAGGTAACCTAAAAGCGTACTTGGATTAAAGAAAGATGGCCAGCCGGTGGGAAACGGATGACGATGGAATTGTAGGTCAGCGTCCCGGCCTCGCGGTCACGAAGCCAGTGCACCGCTCCGCGAGGAACGAGGGAAGAGGAACCGACCCCGTTACACGAAAACCCGTTATGCGACGAGCACCGACTCTCTTGAGTCTCGAACAGACTATGAGACCTCCGTGTCGATAGGAACGTTTCTATATACATATATATATTATCTTAAAGAATTTATAAATCACTTTAACTATAAGTGAGGCGTAGGTTTAGTAATTTTACAGAATTTTACATTGATATTTTTTCAAGGCAAACCAGTAGACCGATATTATTTATAATTAAAGATAATGCCATGTGTGATTAATCATTAAGTATTTTAATGATACGATTCGCGTCTGTATGACTAATTCGATATATTTTCATAAGGAGAATCAAATTATAATTCTTTTTCGTGCTGACTGTTCGAACGGTATTATCTTGGCGCATTGCGTGTCTTGAAAAATGCACGTTAGTATTACGTGGTACCGGACCGTGTAACGTTAAAGCCAGTGTCCCCGATACTCAGTATAATTTAGATATTCAAAAGTGCATAACCCAGATACGAAGAAAGGATCGAACTATTCTCAATGGCTGTTCGTGCTTCAGATAAGGTCAATGAACCTTCATTTTTCAAAGCCCTTCGTTATACCTTCCCTCGATCCAGTGTACCCCGGTAATCAAATCTAAGCGTGATACAACAACAACAATACGATGAATTGTTTTTAACGCGAAAACAAATTATCAGGTACGTTTAAATAACATAACCTACAAAATAAGATTCCGCGCATATCGCGTCATCGCCTAGAAATCCAATGAGTGAAAACGACTCGAGAACCAATAAAACTGACCACGCGTACGTCAATGAAATCCAGATACCGATTTCACAATTTGTTCGTGTAAACAGATTAAAATAATTAAAGGAAAAAGACGGAACATATAGCCTGTACGAATACTGTTTCAGTTTCCTGGCGGAAGTAATTCAGAAGAACGGATTGAACCGTTCCCAGGCGGCTGAGACTGGTTTGATCGTGGGTACTTTGGAAGCAGCAGTATGTGAGCGAAGGACAAGTAGTACGAACGCGTGTGAAAAGTTATTAACCCCGGACGAGGTACGACGGCTCGGCTAAGCCTGAATGTATTTATCTAAGCATATGAAAGAGAGAAAGAGAAATTTTTTTAAATAAAATAAATAAATATCTCAATATTCAAAGCAGCAAAATTCTTGACTAACGATGCCTGAGGAAGTATGTCAATCGGACACTTACTGGTGAAAGTCATCATCAACAATTAAAATACGAGCAACTAATCGTCAATTGGAAAAGCAATGTCAATCAGGTGGAACAAAATGGTATAAAGAAAATTATACTACCGGTGAAAATTCTAGCTGAAGTTCATAATAAACGTAAATCGTACAAATGTAAACTGAAGCAGATTTCTGGTGTACGATTATTGGATGGCAATAAATATTTTTTGTAAATTATTTTTTTTTTACAATAATCTCCACGGCTTCAGTCAATTTATTGGGATGAAATAAAGAAGACCCAAAATCTTAGTACACTATACACCCATGTTACAGGTGTGAGATAGAAGATGATAATGAAAACGTAATATGGCAAGACAGTTTTTACATAGCTTGAACTTTCGAAAAGAAATTGTGCCAACAATATATTCGAAGATTACGTTGCGACCTGAGGCTAAATGTGTATTTATATAAACCGTAGTTATTGCCAAATGTATTGAAACGTCTAGTACCTATTGCGCAATACGCTCGAAAGATCCTTTTAATTATCCTACGGAATCTCGGAGTACTACGTAACATTGGGTTTCAAGGGCTTTATAAAAATATCACGTAGCTTGAAAAGTGCGTAGAATGTTACGAAAAAAAAAAATAAAAACAAAATGGATAAACGAACGGTAAGATTTATCGAAACAAATACATATTTAGAGGATTACTTCCGGTGCTTGTTCTCATTTCCGTTGAGTTTCAAGAGAATATCAGACTTACAGCGATAACGCAAGACACAATTACTTAATAGTGTTAATGAACTTTTTTTTTCAAAATATACAAATTTTATCGTAATAAGAACAATAATCCAACCACGAATAAAATCAGGTTATGTTGATATCATATGTAATGTTGACGCAATAATAAAATAAAGCTTTGTAATTGTATGCTGAGCCAGTTTCAGCTTGCACGAGTGAATTTGTCTATATTATGCAAAATCCTGATGAATAATATTAAAATCAATCGTGATATATTCATAGACAAGGACTTCGTCTTATTAATAGCGTAACTTGTTGTCTATTCATAAATACTGTTGAATTAATAAAACTTGCGCCGGGAGGAAATACAAATTGTTGCAAATTACGTTCTAGAAGAACGATTAGCTCTTTGCTATAAAAAATTTGGCATTAGAAATAATCACTTCCCATTCGCTTCTTCGAGTTAATCTTGATGAAATCACAGAGACGCATTAGAGGCTTTGCATTGCTTAAAAGATCAAATAATTTCGGCCGAATTAAAACTTCGAGTCGTAATTTTGTTTCAGTGATACTTTGGTGTTAC